TCAACAAATCATTCTGAAAAGGCTCTCTAAATAGGAAAAAACTCTTTGTAAACATTCGAATTTCGTTGAATTTCTTGATCAAAAGAGGGAAAAGTTTTTCTTGGTGGAAAGCTTATTCTTACAAAGATTTTCTTGGTAGAAAGCTATTTCTTACAAAGATTTTCAAGTTTTGTCTAATAGCCAGTTGTTTGAAATTGGATTTCATCTTTTTCGTCTTTCGTTTTCGTCGCCTTTTTTCATAAATTCAATTTTGTTGGCGGCTGCATGCTGACTATCAATGTCTCTTATCTTTTCCTAACTTTTCTAAAAGTATATTCATTGGAATGTATGTAAATATTGATGCATTCATGATATATTAGGTTGTTCGGATATAAACGAGCGTTTGCACTGCTTAACTCTTGAGGAAGCCATTTCCCGCATCTGATCGTTTTTCCAATGGTGTGAAGATGTTCATCAATAGTAGAATTTGAACATAGAAACTGTTGCGCAAGTTCACGCGTCGTTTGACATGGATCCGATTCGATTGCAGCCTTCAAAATATCGTTGTCTACCGCTTGAGGTCGACGAGAGTGTTCATCATCCTCGAGACTTTCATCACCATTCCGAAAGTGTTGGAACCAGGCTCGGCATCGGCTTTCCGGACAATACATCATTTCCAAATGCTTTGACCAAATCTCGATGGGATTCCGCGACTGTTTTGCCCAGTTTGAAGTAGGCAGACGGTAGGCAGACGTAGGCAGACGTGGCAGCGTAGAGACGTAGGCAGACGTAGGCGGGCGTGGCAGACGTAAGCCGTAGGCAGACGTAGGCAGACGTAGGCAGACGTAGGCAGACGTAGGCAGACGTAGGCAGACGTAGGCAGACGTAGGCAGACGTAGGCAGACGTAGGCAGACGGTAGGCGAACGCGAACATGATATATTTGAAGTCGGTCATCTAAAGCAATAAAAAGATCTTAAAAATAAGAAATTATCCGTTTAAAAAAATTCCAAATATGCACAAGATAACGTACTTTTAAATACAGAAAGACATGTTTTAAAAGCTTCTCTCACAACAATAAGTTTAGCAACGCTTGTTTATATCCGAACCACCTAATAGTTAAAGCTATGATAATTGCCTTCAAACAGGAGCTAACAGGAGAACCATTGCGTAAACGAGCCATCAACCTTTTTCCCCCACAATATCTAGTGAGATCTTTCTCAATATCTAGTGAGATAAAGACCGTAAATGATCAAAAACCATTAAAGAATCTTGATTTGAAGTTGGCTGATGATTATCGATCTCTAAGACGATGATTTACGGTTTCATTTATGAGAACCCCCATGGGAACAGAGATTGGGATTGGAGGAGAGATAAATGTATGAGTACAGATGAGCGTTATGTCACAAATCCTTCGATAGATGGGTATTTCACACGAGAGATTTCACTCTTTTATGATTGTTCATCTTTTTGTGGTGACACCCCATCGGCCATCTGGACACATGAGGGAACACTCTCAACAACATCCCCCCCTCAATCACTTCACAATCACACATTCTTCATTCGATTTGAATCCCCTCATCCACTTGTAACAATTCATTTAAGTGCCTCATAACTTGTTGAGAAAGAGTGACAATTTTCGAGTCTCCTTTTGTTTTCTAAAAGTTCTCTCATTCTTTCTAAAACATATCAATTTTCGAAAACTAATCTTGGCTAAAAATAAATTTTATTTAATCTATCTACTTTTGTATTCTTTTTAAATCATCAAACATTAAACAATAGCTACATTTGCTTGGATTTCATTGGCTAAACCTAGAGTTAAAAATACAAGAGTAACTTGTTTTCAAGGTTTTCACCTTTTAGAAAAAGTCATATTTGATACTTTTTTCTTGGCTTTACTTTGTTGACTAGTAGTAGACTAAAAACCTTTGTTCTAAAACTTGATAAAGACTCCAAAGGTAGGCGGTCTTCTTCAAAGACTACCTGGATGGCGTAACAGTTGAGGGGATGGACGGCGGGGATGGAGTGCTTGAGATCGACAAGAAATCTCTTGATTTAAGAATCTCAGTCAAGTATTTCTTATATCTATCATCACTTGATCCTTTTTAGATATGGGATATGTCAAGAAAAGTGATGCCCTACTAGGTTCTCTTGTCGCCCACCTGTCATTGCTACTCAACTCTCTTGCTCTTATCGAAAATTTGATATCAAATCTGACATCTATTTTAAAACTTTTAATCTACTGTATTGGATATCAAAGCTGACATCTTTTAACTTTTAATCTAAAGTTTATTTGTATAATCTAAAGATCAAAATAGCTAAAGATCTAAAAGTCTGTTTCGATTTTACAAGTCTATTTCAAAACCTAACCATTCCTGATCAATTTTGCTACCCTTATCAATTCTTTTCCCATTCTTTTGGTGATTTGTATATTTGTATAATATTTGTATACTTAATTTGTATATTTGTATAATCTAAAGTTCTAAAGATCTAAAGAGCCTAAAGATCTAAAAGTCTGTTTCTATTTTACAAGTCTGTTTCAAAACCTAAATATTCTTGATCAGTTTTGCTACCCTTATCAATTTCCCATTCTTTTGGTGATTCAAAAGAATGGGAGTCAGAGATATTGTTGAATGACAGTTTCAGTCCCAGTCATAGTCAAAGATATTATTGAATGACAGTTTTATATTTTATTGGTGGAAACGATGGGTGCAGCTGCGTGTGTCCCTCGAGAAAAGTGTTTGAGAGAAAAGGGAAAGGCAGACGGATCACACGGAATCGCAAAATACGATCCTCATTTGATGAGAGAAAAAGAAAGGGGAAATAAAAAGAATCGAGGATGATAGGGTAATTGTGGAAGGATTGGTGACCGATTGCCTTTAAGGGATATTCAAGGGTGATCTCTTTTCTCTTCTCACATAACCTCTCCCATATGTCCCTCAGATTCTATGCTTTATATGTCAAATCTCAGAGCTGAAGAACCCTTATATTAATGGCACATTTGTTTATATGTTTGTTGTATATTGTTGCCACATTTGTTAACAAAATCCATGTAAATTCAAAAATTTTTTTGCAAGATTGCTAGCTTTATTATTGCAAGACAAGAGCCTGTCTTATTCTCAAATAATGTTTTCCTAAAACCTTTCCTCTTCCAAAAACTACTGTAATCTTGTCTTTAGTCTCAAGATTTTGACAAAAATTTCGAATTTTGATCACTCTAACCTTAAATAACTGCCATTTTGCACAGGCAGATGCCCTTGATTGATCACTGTTTTAAATCCATACTTCATTTCTTCATTTCCGTTAATTCATCATCATCAATCACCATCAAAGCCTCATTTTTTTTCTCATTTTGATGACTAAAATCTATTGAATGTTATTGGAGTGCTTTTCTTCTCGACGAATGGCATAAAATCTTTCGAGAGCTTTTCAAAATGTGTGAATAAGAAGGGAAGGGAAGAGGAGGAGCGATAAGCAATCGTTTCCTAAAAATGACTCATAAAGAATTTAAAGAAAGAGAAAAGAAGGAGACTTTCCGGTTTCATTTCAATATTCCCAGAAACACACTTTGACTCTTTGACTTTGACTTCGACTGACTTTGACTTTGACACTTTGACCCTTGTAATCCACTAAATCTTCAATTACAACAATCAAATGTTATCTCAACTTGGTATATTTCAATTTTTGAGTTCATCAACTCGCGCTTCTTAATCCAGAACCTAAATACAATTCTAGATTTGTTTAAAGGAACACAAATCTGTGTATGTTTTCTGAAGTGCTTTCAGAAGTCCAGGTCTTTTAATCCTAGTCCTAGTCCAGGTCTTTTAACCCTAGTCCTAGTCCAGATCCTTTAATCCTTATTTTGAAGAGATATTCAACATCAGATTGATTTGTTGATTGTTATAAGTTGTTATAAGTTGTTATAAGTCTCCTTTAGAACACAAGCATTACTGAAATTGGTTCCACAAATGCTAAAGAAGGTCCATTTATTGGGGAGGAACGGTGATAGATGAAAAGCGATTGAATTAGCATAAGAGAGAAGAGGAAACGGGATGGGTACAAAGAAAGAGATGGGTAAGAAGAATGGCCACCCTGTAGGGAGTACTAGGGGCTTCGGAAAACTCTTGCTTCTTGTTATGTATTCTGATATAATGCTGAAGCCTTTCTCTATACCAATTCCGATCAAACTTCCTCAACATTTTGCTAGTTTGACGAAAACTCTTTCATTAGAAATTCTCTTTTTAAGTATCTTCTGTTTTCCTTTTTTTAGTGACTCCCAAAGGATGGCATTTCATTTGCATGCAGCTGTGCTTTGAGACTTTCCAATAGAAATTTCTTTGAAAATTTCAATGAAATGAAATAAAGCAGCTGGTCTTTGGGAATCTTATATAAAAGAAATAAAATAAAGGAAAAGATTTTGTAACTTTAGTTCATTTTTCATTTGGGATTTAATCCTGTTTTTCTCTTTTTTTTTGAGTAGTTTCAAGCTAATGAATCGACTGTAAAGCTTTACTATTAGACTTATAAAGCATTAGGCTAATAAAGCCTTATTATTTGACTTTAAATGAATCACTTGTAAGGTTTGAAAAAGCTCGTTTGTAAACAAGATACCTAAATTTTGCAATTATCTATTTTGATTGGCTTTGATTGGCTTGTAAGATTCGTAAATAAAAGGAATTTGAAATCTCAACTCATAATTGTGATTGAGTAAATGGGCGGGGGAAATGAGGAATTGTGATCAAGAGAAAAAGGAAGGTTAGACAAGGGAGCCTTGTCTAACCTAAAATGGATGGGTCTCTCCTCCTTTCCCCATCTGGAAACACCTGTCTTTTTTTCTTTTCCTTTCTTTCAATTTTTCTTGATCCTACAATCTTTTCCCTTTTTTTAAATACCTATTACAAGCTTTACGATCTAAAAGAGGATTCTTGTCATGTTCATGTTCTCGGAAAACACCTTAAACCTTACGATTATTATGCACCTTTATACCATTTTTTTTTCATTTTATATTTGACTCAGTTTCAGGATGCTGTTATTGATACTTCTACTATTCTCAGGGATCACAGCTATCGAAATCCCGAAAGAAGTGAAACTCTATGTGGGACAGGTGAGAAAAGAATACAAGATTCTACAGTTTTATTCTAAATATCAGCCGAAAAACCCGGATAACCGCGGGTTTTTCTCGGCCAAGGCACAGTCGGGAGCGCGCTTGTCTAGCAGACTCGAGCGGCCCGCACGACTCGGGTTCGACCGCCTGTAGTGCCACTAATTTTTTATTTTAAATGGCATAACCACAAGATATGGTTTATAAAGAAGTTTTGGCTTTATTGCTTAAAACACGGCCGAGAAAATGCCCGTACAGACAGCCAGACAGATAGATAGACAGATAGACAGATAGACAGATAGACAGACAGACAGACACTGCTCTTTTATATAATCGATCAGTATCAAATAATATCCCTTCTCTTCAGGTCTATTCGTTGTCTCTTCCACAAGGTTCGCGAGTCGAAGATGCATCGGGTGGTCCAATCAGTAATTGGTTGACTCTCGACATAGAGACTTTAATGGGACTTCCACAGGGAGAACATGTCGGCAAACATTATGTCAAGGTTTTTTGTGTTTTACAATTAACAATAAAGTTAAGCTATCGATTTAACGAGGCTAACGGCATTTTATCAAAGAAAATCATTAAGCTTTACTGTGAAAGTGTCAAAGCAATGTGGTTCTGGAAAGTTTTACTGTTAAAGTATCGAAGATAAATTGCAAATCGAGTGCCAAACTGTATTTTAGAGCAACCAGTTATAAACTAAAGCCAAATTTTTCAAGCGACCAGTTTTAAACAAAGCCAAAATTCCAGGTGACGCATCCCAATGGAGAAAATGTGATCGAGTTTAAAGTCAGCGAAGAATTCTTAAATCCCTGTGGTGAGACGGTAAGTTTTTAAGCTTGAATAACAATTTCTCAACTTCAATATTTTACAGGATTCTTTCTGGGTGGAAGTTCTATTTGAAGGGAGCAAATTGGTGCAAGATAAAGTGAGAGCCGCGAAGATGGTTCATGATTTCACTGAAGTCGATTTGGAGAAAATTCGGGTAAATGAGGAAAAAAAACGAGATTTTTTAGAAAAGTGATATGGAGATTTTCAAAATACTTTAGCTTTTCGATCAAGAGAATTTCTACGTACATTTCATAAAGAAGGTAAACCCCTATTCTTTGGATCGATGCTGGAGTTTGTTCTTCTTAAAAAATCCGTCTAAAACGTGTCAACTTTCAAAAAGTATCGTAAACCTGTCACTAGTTTTACGACTTTAAGATTACAATAGCAGAGCTGTTACCAGCTCCAATCCAGGTAAAGCAAGGTAAAGCAAGGCAAAGCAAGACAAAGCAAGACAAAGCAAGGTAAAGCAAGGCAAAGCAAGACAAATCAAGACAAAGCAAGACAAAGCAAGGTAAAGCAAGGCAAAGCAAGACAAAGCAAGACAAATCAAGACAAATCAAGACAAAGCAAGACAAAACCAAGATCAGGCCAGAAGTCAGTCTTGGTCTAACTTCTGGTCATTCCTGACGATATTTTACAAAAGTTGGCACATTTTAGAAAACTAATTTTCAAGAGAAACAAACTCTAATCGATATTAAGTTTTGATGGAGAAAAACCCTCAAAAATAACCAGCATGGTGTGTTAAAAAGTTGGAAAAGAAGAGCTTTTCCTCAAAAATTTTTTTCTAAGAACAAAAAGCTCTTTACTAATCGGAATCCCTGGTGGTAACAAAGCATGAAATTATTTAAAATTTTTACCAAAAATGGCTCCGGGAAACTAATTGAAAATGAAAAGTATAGAAAATGTCTAACATTTTCAGGTCTACACACCAGAATATGGAAAAGCTATTCGAGACTTGACAAAGCTTGAGATGAATGGAAATGATGAGAGTTTACAACAAGGACTCGAGGATTTATTTCATGTTGTTGTGCCGGTTAGTTTAAAGAAAATTTGCAAATTAAACAATTTGAGTCAGGGTGATTGTGCTGAGGGAAATGAACAGGAACAAGATTTGCCTGAGAAAGCCCTGCAAATTCTTGAGATCATCTTTGAGAAGCAGAAATCGGGAGAAATTTCGGCGGTGAATGCTGAGGTGAGCAAAGAATCTAGAGAAAATAATGATATTCTAGAATTTTTCAAATTATTTGATGATTTAGATCTTCCAAGGACGAGTGCGATCACGTCAAGAAAGACAAGGAGTTAAAGATATCATCTCGAATTTCGATTTCGCTACTTCGGCACCAGATATTGTTGAAGAGGTGATTTGCTTTTGAAAATAATATTTATTAAGATCATTTACAATTAATTTCAATCAATTCATCAAATTCATCAAATTTCATTACAAATATTTCAATTACAATGAAAATTGATTTCAGGACTTTGAAGTGACAACGCTGACGACGACAACGAAGAGATCCGTTCGTCCAAATAGTCGAGGTTCCGATTCTTCGCCACAAAAATTAGGATCGCTTTCTTCGATGAAATGTTACAGGTAAATGAAGAATTTAAACGTTTAAATCAATTCAAAACGATTTCAAAGCCATATGCAAAGATATTCATTTCCCCATTTCTCAACTCCCCTTCAATCCTCCTTTATCTTTTTCAATTTGAATATGAAAACCCTTTCAATTACCGTGACCATCTGTCTTTTCTTTTGAAGGGAAATCAACAAATAGCTAAATACCAAATAGCTAATCATTTCCATTTCAAAATAGAAGACATAAAATAAAGCCGAAAAGAAAAGGAATGAAGGGAAATGAATGGATTGGCCATAAAATGGTGCTTATGGGGGAAACGCTTCAAGAAATGCAGGGCGATACCCTAGATTACAAATTCATTCTTTGGTAACATGAATAAAATAGTCCAAAAAAACTTGAAGGCAAGATTGAGGTAGCTTTAAAATTGACAAATCATTTGTGAAGAATACTCTAGCCATCTTTTCAAATATAAATTGAGTATGAGTAAGTAGTAAATTAAAGTCAAGAAGCAACCATTCGTTCTCTAACGGTTACGGATTTAGTTTATTAACACTTTAAAATGAAAGAAACTTGATGATGATTGATTTGATTGATGATTTGATTGCTTTCAGAGGAATTTTGTGCTCGATGACAATCCCATCTGACACTTTTATGGATCCGGAAGATGGAAAAACGGAGAAATTGAAGCTTGAAGTGAAATCGAATGGAGCTGATGAGAAATGGGTGAAGGTAAGGGAAAATATTCAATAAGGAAATAGTCGAGAAAATTTAAGGTGGACAAAATGCAAATATCGGCCGTTCCATTGAAAGAAGGAGAATTCCAGATGAGACTCGAAGCAAGAGACAAAAATAATCAGGTGAAAATGAAAATGGATTTTGAGAGCTTAAGAAATTCGTACTCTAATCGATTCACGAAAAGAAATGGATGTATTTTATTTGAAGTTTTGAAAGGTATATATGTTGTGTCCGAATTAGATTTCCGTCCGATTTAGATTCAATCTAAATCTTAACAATAATATAAATTGAACAATAATATAAACATGCATGTAAACAATAATATAAACAGCTGAAAACAACATATATGTTCTTTTCTGTAGTTTTCTGCATTTTTCAAAGGTCTTTTATAGATTACAGTCTATATCGGACGTCCGATATAGACTGTAATCTAAATCGGACGGAAATCTAAATCGGACGGAAATCTAAATCGGACGGAAATCTAAATCGGACGGAAATCTAAATCGGACGGAAATCTAAATCGGACGGAAATCTAAATCGGACGGAAATCTAAATCGGACGGAAATCTAAATCGGACGGAAATCTAAATCGGACGGAAATCTAAATCGGACACAACATATATATAGATACTTTATTCAGGACCTGAGATAAAGTGCGCTAGATTTAAGATTAAAACACATGAATTCATACATATAACACGAAAAGGGCCGATAAAAAGAAACACGATATAATATATGTAAAATGTGGGTAGCACAGATAACGTCAAGGATCCACTAGAGCTTCAAGGTATCAAAAAAATTGAATGTCATTCTAGCAATAAGATTTATTATGATTCTTTTCAGATGGTATCCGCTCCATTCAATGTTTTGGTAGAAGACTCCTCAATTCCAAATCACAAATTCTTCTTCGAAATGGACACTTTATATGATCGATACACATCAAATCCTCATCTTTTGGTTGGATTCGTTCAACGACTTGCCTCTGCTTTTAAAGGTTTTCCCTTGTCAATGAAATTTTTCAAAGCATCTTTCAGCTTCGACTGATTCTGTAATGGTTGATCGAGTCGAGAAGTCACAAACGGGAAAAGCTGTAATCTATTGGAGTAACGCTAATCTATCAACTGCGGTAATAGATTCAGTTAAAAGGTTTTACAGAAAATTTTCAGATTTGTCCAACTGATGAAATTGAGGCAATGAAGCTGACAATGGCCACGAAGAAACAAAACAATCCAAAGGTGGAAAAGAGATTGAATTTATTAAACTAGAAATATTTAGGGTGTTTTCATGAAGGCAATGGGTCCAGAGTATATGGTGAGAAAATTGGGACTCAATTTCACTGGTGAGTAAAGGACAATAAGATAACAATGAGAAGGACAATGTGACTCAAATAATCCTCTAGGTGCTTGCCTTCCATCAGCATCATCCGATTCCTCATCACCGTCTGTTGTCTCTCCAAATCGTGAATCCGGCTTTGGATGGTTGGCTTTGGCTGCAGCGTTGGCTCTTCTTTTATTGTTGATTGCTCTCGCATTATGCTGTTGTTTGGCTAAGAGACCAAAGAAGGAGAAACCAAGCGAGTTTGTCTCCAAAGGATTACCCGTCGTTTTCCCCGAAGAGGTTTGTATGAATGAGAACTTTATTATCGGTGGATCGGTGGATAATAAAGTAAAGAAATGAACGGCAAAGGATTTGAAGTCGACGGGGGAATTGAACCCTCGACCTTCTGCTTATCAGGCAGATGCTCTATCACCGAGCTATCGGCGCTATTCTTTAAGCTATTCTTTACCCAAGAAGAAATAGGAAAGATAAGGAAGAGAAAGAAAGGAAGAAAGAGAGAGACTAATGACAAAAACAATTGATTTTGTAGGTGGCTGATGAATCGGAGACAGCCATCGCATCAACGCCAATGCTTGTCAAAGAGGAGAGACCACCATTGAAGGTAAATCGACGATTCATTGATTTCTAAAGATTTCAAATAACTTATTTAATTAAATATTTCAAACTCAATATTCTTTTAGGTGTCGCAACACGAGAATCCGTTGTACAAGCCACCACCTCCACTCACTTCTTCATTCTCTCCTCGCGGTACAACTCCCGGGTTGGCTGGTACTCCATCGCAAAGACTTCCACCTCCATATGTTCCCCCATAATTGTCTCTTTAAATTTTAGAGTAAATACTTAAGAATTTATTTTAAGCCTTTAAACAGCAACGAATTGTCCTGAAGATTCATCTTGCTAACTATCAAAATAACGATTTTTTCAATAATTTGTTAACTCAAACAATTTTCCAGTGTTACTGCCAGAGTTCAGCAGCAATTTCCGTTCATCATTTTCCTATGAAACAAAGCGTTTTGTTGGTGTTAAGCACAAAAAGTACGAAGCGTTATGTTTCAAAAGAATAATGATGAATTTTTGGAAGTAACTTTGGGTTACTTCTGTTTTGCAGGATTGACTAAAGCTCATGTATTCCATAGGTAATTGTATCTATTCTTTATCTAAAAACCGATTTCTATAAGAGGCCAATTTCTTCTCAAAATCTGCATTCAAATATGCCAATTTTTGATTTTAAATTTGAAAGTATTTGGACTTTTTTTTTTCCTTTTTCATATTGAATATGTGATTTGTCTCCAATCGAAGCCATTCCTCTCACCTCAAACTCGTGCATATTTCTCATTTTTCACGTATTAATCTCCCCCATTTTTACACACGGCTCCACCAATAGCTTTATCAGTTTTTTTTTCAGAGAAAACGGAGTATTGTTTTTCATTTTTTGTAAATTTTTCCCCTTATAGTTAATTAAAATCTTTTTTTTTTGAAACTCCGTATTTCGGGTCGATCCCTTTTTGTTTTTTCTCTTGTTCATCCTTTTGTCTTTGAAGGTTTATTTATAAATAGTCATGCTTTTTACATTAAATATTTAACACAAGACTTTATCTGCAAAAGTTATGAGAAACAAAATCAATGCAGAAGCTTTTCAACTGAAAAAGATTAAAAAAAAGACATTTTAACAAACATTTCTGCCATGTTTTGCATTTGCCAAAAGTTGCATTTAACGCTTCATCTTCTCGCCAACACTGGTTTTTGAATAAATTGTCCAATCTCAAAATTAGTTACATTATATCGGAAAAGCTTATGAGAAAAATGATATTATGTTTATAGCGAGTAAAAACTCGCAGAGTTTGGCGAGCAAACATAAAAGACATTGTAACAAACATTTCTGCCATGTTTTGCATTTGCCAAAAGTTGCATTTAACGCTTCATCTTCTCTCCAAAACGTCGCAAATTTACAAATTTCTCATTTTTATTTTCTTAATGTCCGGGCAAGGTCCAACCTATCAAGTGAGGTTTTAATTTTCAAATTTTTTGATATTAGTATCACCACTTGAAAACGATAATCGCATAGTCTTGCCCACTAGAATATTTGGTACTTGTCGATTACCGTTTTGAGCAAACAGCTGAAAGAGCACCCTGTTTTGTTGCATAGCTGCAACAACTTCAAAGTAGAGCTATTTCAAGTGGCTTTATAAGCTTAAACTTGTTTAAACGTATGCACAACGAGCCTGTTTCATGCAATTTGTTGATTTTACTCACAAATGGGAGACGTAACTGACAAGTAACCAACATTTTTTACAGCGAGTGCATTAAAATTTCGAAACTAGGCCACACCTATGTTAAGGATTGGTGAACCATATCAGAAATTAACCTTTCATTAGCTGTCCTTTACAATGTTGCACATTTTCTAATCTTTTTATTTAAGGCAGACGTTCGGTTTCGTGTCGAGGGATATGATGAAGTGGCTCGTCATTGGAAACCTTCAAATGAGAGTCGACGAGCAAGACAACAACCACCTCTAAATCATCCACAAATAACCAGGTATTCGGTTTCGTTATTCAACACTTACTTGTATCCATTTTCTCTAGTATGTTAGACCCATCTGTATGGCGTCCATCAGTGCCAAAGGAACAACATGACCGTGCAGATCTTCGTCATCAACTTTGTCAGTAGATAGTTTTTTTTCTTTTATGTAATTGTGTTTTAGTAATTCGTCCTGGAAAGGCGCCACCACAGCAAAATCAAAATGACAATGGCTTCAACGAGCAACTTTCTACAATACCGAATGCCACTCCTCAACTTATCTCGCACAATGTTAATGTTGAAGTAAGTTTTAATTTGTTTATTAGAAAAAGGTTTATTTCAAAGTGCGTTTAATATGTGCCAATATAAAAAAATTGAGTGTGAAGGCTGTTAATGTTTTAAAGAAATCTTTTTAGGCGACCGATGGAAAGTTTCAAAGAACTTTGCTTCCCACGAAACCAAATGTTGCGGAAGTGAAAAATAGATTAACGGCAATATATGCAGACAAAGCAAACGATTCAACGTCGTCATCGAGCACCAGTCAAACTGGTACGGCTTACGCGATTGAAAGTTTAGGATTTAAAAGTAGTGATGTGTTCTGTTTAGTCACTTCTGCTTTATCGATCTCAACACCAGCTGTTACGACACAAACTACATCGAGCTCTTCAATAGTTTCTCAATCAAGTACCACTCAAAGAACGGTTGAAATATATCATTAATAAGATCAACATTTTTTTTTAGCAACATCGCGCTACAACAACACCTAATTTCCCGGCTTGTGAACCTTGTGGAGATTCTTTGAAATTTCAAGAACAACCGACGCCGATTTTGTATTCCGAAAGTGCCAACTCAAACAAGTAATATCGCGTATTTATTTATATATATATATATATATTATTGCTTACAATTTATATTTTATTGGGGCAAAAATGTAACATTTTTTAGAACTCGACTCGTCGAGGAACTTCCTCCCATGGACAATAAATTAGTTGCACCGATTTCTGCTAGAATTTCATCGGTAAGTGGTTTGCAGCGATTTAAATAAAATGGTTTTATTATAGGCTTCGACTGGACAAACAAAAAATGATGAGACAACAGCATACGGGGACGAGACGGTATAATTGATCTTTTCAGGATTTAAAAATCTCCTGTTTGGAAATCACATACACCAACAGAATCGCAAAATTGGAAAAATTTCGAGTCTTGCGAACCTTCACCACAAACAGCCGTGCCATCTCCAACCGAGGTTTCGAATTTTATTGTTCGCTTGAAGTTTACCACTCCAGATTGCTACTGAAGTAACGACAGCAAGTGCACAACCTCACAACGAAGTTGGACATTATCCGCCCGATGAACAGTATATGACTTATCAAGGTGCGGTTTCTTTAGCGTTACTTATTTGGATGTCAAGTTTTAGAATTTCTCACGAAACATGCACAGGTGACCGGCTTAAATGCTCCAACTAGAACTTCACATGGTAAATATGACCAACCAGTGCAAAAGGTGAGCATATTCAAGCGCTTTAAAAAGGATCTTTTTGCATTTTAGCTCGAAACCGATAGTTGCGCAAATTGGGTGGAGATGCGATGCTGGGCTGTGTTGGGGATTTTCATTTTTTTCCTCTACATCTACCACCTCTGGTTGCCTCAAATCATGCATTGTGGTCAAATTGATTGAATCTCATCAAATGAAGCGTTGCAATTTTTTGAAATGACCTTTTGTGTGTTTTAAAAAGTTTTTCGATCTATTGTTTTTCATGGTCACTTGATACATATTTGTGTGTGAAAAAAATAGTTACTCAGAATTTGTGAATTGGATATTGGAAAATTCGAAACGTGCGTCTCGGAATCTAACCTTAAACGAGCAAAAAAGCGAAACTCATTAAAATCTCACAAACAATTTTCCCATCTAAATCCCGATCTATTCATGTGTTTCAGAACTAGAGTCCGGTTTAAAGCAATTACGTATTGAATTTGTTTTTTTTTGTATAACAAAGTAACTTCTCAACATTTGACTCAAAAGCATTGAAAACATTGTTTCAGTAGCTTTTGACCAATTAATCTACTTTGTGAAAGAGTGATTCTTGTTTCTTATAGTTGATTGGTATTCAAAAGAAGTTCTTTTGTTAAACATACTTGTTTCTTCTTATGCTTCTCTCTTCTTGAAAGTTTAACAGAACAGAAAGTTTTTTCATGGGAGTGGGACAGATGCGACCTTTTTTTTTTGCGCACCTGGACATTTGCGCACCTTTTTTTCCGCACCTTGCCCATTAGCGCACCTTTTTTCGCGTTTTAAAAAGCTCTAAAAAGCTAATATTAACCAATTTCTATTCCAAATGTTGTTTTTCTAGGTAATTTTAGGGCGTAGAATCGAAATTTTGACATATCAGAGCTTGTGGAACCAATTTGAAAGACAAAACGGCTAGATCAAATTACAGAAAATTGTTGATTTTTCTCTTTGTATAACTCCGTCCGTTTGTTTCCACAAGCTCTGATATGCCAAAATTTCGATTCTACGCCCTAAAATTACCTAGAAAAACAAATTTTGAAATAGAAATTGGTTAATATTAACTTTTAGAGCTTTTTTAAAACGCGAAAAAAGGTGCGATAATGGGCAAGTGCGGAAAAAAAGGTGCGCAAAAGAGGTCGCATTTGTCCCACTCCCTTTTTCATAGATCAATAGGAGCTACAAGTGAGTACTGTATTGCTTGGGTTGCGTTAATTTATTTATCGCGCAAGTTAGTGTCAAATAAAATAATCTCAGGTAAACTGAATAACTAGCGCTTGTTCTCTGTTATTTTTCATATTTCTGCACTAACTTGAACAATAAAGACGCCAAAAAAATAAACGACAATAGGGAACAATTTTTTTCGCTTTTTTCCTTTTCGTTCATTTTGATATTTTTCAAAGGAGGCTCGTTTAAGAAAAACGATCTTTCCATCCAATTTGGCGTTATTTATTGGGGAAAAGAAAGATCTTTTATCTAGTCGTTCATTGAAATTTCACATTTATCATATTTTCTTTTTAGGTAGGTGCATACAAGTTTTCATTTTTGAAAACAACCCTGATTATGACAAATCTCTTTTAGGATCTCTTTTAGGAATGATCTCTTGTTTTTGCTGATTAATTCTCGTGAAAGCCAATTTCCGCACATAAAAAAGATTCAAGCTCAACTTTTGAAGATCGACATTTATGTTGACTGAATATTTGATCTTTGTTTGGCTTCAATAATCTAAGGTTCTGAGAAGTGTTTTTTTTGAGGAAGAGATATTTGGAATGTTCGTTTCTTGGACCAATATTTAGGGAAATTGATGAGAAAACGTTTGAGGAAGCAAGATTCATGAAGAATTTAGTCTATTTATCATTTTAACTCTTTCATGAAGAAGCTCATCAGTCTCTGGACGCTCATCAGTCTTTTTATATCCATTTCTTCCTTGAAGCTAAACTTTGTTATGACGAAATTTGAAGTTTTCATTAAACTGGGGATCTTTTTGGATTTGGTTGATAGACAAACATTTCCTCAAAATAGACGAAGACATTTCCCAGCCATCCTCTTTTTCTTCTAGCTGGATTCAAACGAGAAAAGAGTTGGACCTTTCTTTGGAGATTTCTCGTTCGCAAAATCCCTATTTAAGTTTTCTTCTGGAGTTTCTTTTCAGCCGAAAATGACCTCCTTGAATGAAATGGATAGTTGTGAAATGGAGGAGCTGGACGGGGAAACGCCTTTTTATCTAAACCCCTCTAAACGAACGCCTCTTTATTGGCACATCTCGAATTTTTTTGTCTAGCACAAAAATTGATGGGTACTAAGGTAGTTTGGGCCACGTTTTTCCCAAAACCACTTTTTAAGGTACTTTTCAAGGTACTTTTCAAGGTACTGTCATATTTATGACAACTGAATTACAGTTAGAAATTGGAGAAGTGTTTTTTTGACCAGCCTCAGTGTCTCCAAAGTTTTCTCCATGAACTGTAGCATTACTTCTAATTTCACATCAATTGTAACGACTGCATAGCTTCGGAAAACTTTTCTAGGCTAATTTAGAAACTAAATAAGGATTCGGCAAAAGATCTTAAACTGGGTTTGACGGGGAAACGAACGGCTCTTTATTGGCACCTTCTCCGGCTTCCCTCCATTTTTTGGTCGATTCGACAAAAAAAAAGCTCTTTTATTCTTTGACTCTTTTACTAGAGTTCTTCTCTCTTTTTGCTTTTCGTGCTTTTCGATTCCGCAAAAAGAGAAGAAAAAGAAACCTAGGTAAACGGAAATTCTCATTTTGTTTCCAAATTTTCGATAACAACCCTGAGGTTTCTCTTGTCTTTTTGAGTTATAAGATCATGCCAAATTTTAGCCATTTGATAGATCCAATTCTAGTGTTTGAGATTATTTATTCACTCCAATGTGCTTTGCAATTTAAATTGATCACCTCTGAAGCCATTTTCTTGTTTCAATCTCAGTTCAAATGCAATTAGCTGTGTGGATCTTGTGGCGCTCGTTGAAATTTATATGCAAAAAGATTAGAAAAATTTCTGTGCAATTGTTGTAGATGATTTTTTTTGTACTTTTATTTGGCTGTAAACATATTCTCTCTGGTGCACTTAAACCCAAAAGTTTCAAATGTAAAATTGATTTCTTAATGGAATTTGGAAATTGTCATAAGATATCATACAAAAAAAAACACATGTGGCTTTGTTTGTGAGGAAAGTTTGAGGAAAGTTTCCCCTCAATTAGCTCTAGGTTTTGCTGAATTCAGAAATGACTGATGGAGAAAGAGATCTTTTTGCGGCGTTTTTCAGAAACGAAAGGCAAACCTCCAGGGAATTCAAGATCGATCAGGGAAAACGGTAATTGGTGACTCTTTTTCTAAGGGAAAGGAAAAAGAAAAGGACAAATTTCATGTGACATATTTTTAAGACAAGAAATTTCTTCCTTATACACATTTTACGTATCCCAGTCATTTTTTTTGTATTCTAATTTAGTGATTCATAAATGCTTCAATGATTTTTTCCGTGTCTTAGCGAGAAACGTGACAACACGTCGGCTCATTTTATTTCCTCCCCACTTTCCCTTTTCCCCCAATAATTTAACGCATTAATGTACTTCTGAAGAGTGAATTTCATTACTCGCACATTTTCTGCAAGAAAAGAATCTCAGAGAATAAAGAAAGAAAATGAAGAGCTAAATCCCGTCTTTCTTGAGAGAATCGGGCACAAAGAGTGTAAAGAAATCAAGAAATGAATCAAGAAATGGGAAAGAATTATCTTTTTTCAGTCAAAATGATCTCTCTTTTGGTCTCATTCAGTTTTTCAGTCAAAATGATCTCTCTTTTGGTCTCATTTTCCAGCAAAACGATTACCTTTGATTTCATTGTCTCTTTAGTAGGAAAATAATTTGAAAAACTTGATCCTCTCTTTTCATTTTTTTTTTCAAATTACACTATACAATTCCTTTTTAGCCTCAAAATGTGGGAATATCAGGATACCGAGGATCTCATCTATGTTTTTCTCATTCCATTGGTGAGTGAAATTTATATTCTGTGCTCTTTATTTAGCGATCAAAGGCAAAACAGTAATAGTGTTACTTCAAAGCTTCTTTTTGGACTTAAAGACAGCTTTTAAATGAATAGTTAGCTCGGTTGTTCGGCTCGGTTGTTCGGCTCGGTTGTTCGGCTCGGTTGTTCGGCTCGGTTGTTCGGCTCGGTTGTTCGGCTCGGTTGTTCGGCTCGGTTGTTCGGCTCGGTTGTTCGGCTCGGTTGTTCGGCTCGGTTGTTCGGCTCGGTTGTTCGGCTCGGTTGTTCGGCTCGGTTGTTCGGCTCGGTTGTTCGGCTCGGTTGTTCGGCTCGGTTGTTCGGCTCGGTTGTTCGGCTCGGTTGTTCGGCTCGGTCGCTCATCGCTCCGTCCGCATTCCGCATCCCAAAAGGGAAGCATCTTATACCGGGCACGTTTGCCAGATGGCGAGCGATTACGACTTTCCTTAGACTTTCCAGAGAACACTTTCCTTAACAAAGAGGCCCTTTAACTTTTCTTTTGCTTTGTAAATGATACAAAGAAGATATTCAGCTGTAATTTTGTACCCAATAGTTTTCGGAGTCGGCCAATCGATTGGGCGAGCTCGTTTTTCTGTAACCATCAATATAAGCCGTCATTTGAAGCAGCGTTACCGTTCGAAGTTCAAGGCCACTTTTAACTTACAAAAGCCGATGTTTAACTTACAAAAGCCGAGCTCAGATATCTTCACCTCAACACAATTTTGCAGATCTGTATACCGGGTCTCGTCGCAGCAACTGCTTCAGCTTATGTTTTCTTCAAAATTCGCTCTTCTTCATTGGAAGTTCTCCTCTTTGGTCGGTTTTTTTAGCTCATTTTTGTTCTTTTATTTAATTTAAGCAATGTCAAAAGATCTACTGCTAAAGTTTTAACGAAACTTTTCCAGGTTTATCTTTATTTGATGTGGCTGTGCTTGGCTGTTCACTAACAATGTATCCATCGTTGAATCAATGTAAAAAAGCGGAGGAAGGAGAAGATGTAAGGCTTGATTTGTCTATTGATCACATTTTAACTCAAAGATTTTGAAATTCTTATAAAAAAGCAAAATTTTACCGCTGATTAGTCCTTGTTCAAAGCAAATTGGTGAAAATGGTCAAAAATTCGACGTTCATCTTGTGCTTTTCCCTAGTGAGCCATTATTTTTGTTTTTCTTCTTTTAAAACTTACTTTTTGGTGAACTTGAACACAGAAAACTAGGCCGAAGTGCAAATTCATTAAAGAAACTCTTTTTCCTCTTCTTTTCTTCACTTCAAATGGAGCAATTTATGCAGTGATCCCAGTGGCCAATCCTCATCACCCACCTCTTTACTTCCTTTAAGGAAAAGAAAATTCAAAGGAATGAGATTCTTCCTTGTTTCATTCCGGGTATCTAAAAAGGAAAGGTAATTAAGAAATATAGTGCAAGCAAAATAAAGAAAAAAAATGATACTTTATGGTTATCCCGGAAATTCTCTTTGACACCTTGATGGCCCTTCTAGAATATTGTAGACGGTTAAAGCTATACAGGTGTGTCTGGAATAAAGTACGGTAGATAAATCAAAGGCTAAACTTACTAACAGAGTAATGATCAACGAAGGAAGATCAAGTAAAAGTAAAAGTGGCAAAAAAGGCCGATTTTCGTCGATTTTCAATCATTTTTTTCTAAGCGCTGGTTAAAGTTAGAAATATATGTTATATCTCAAGAAAATACCCATTTTCTTTACTTTAATTTGATACCCTAGCGCGCAGAAATAAACGTGCTGGTGTCAAGATATGAGCGTTTCTTTGAGAGGGGCTTCGATTTTACGCTTCTTAGACGATGCGACGCTTCTATTTTACGTTCTATTAGTTTTTACGGTAGTTGAAAATAGTTGAACTTAATTTCTACAGCCGTAAACTACCATTGAGAACATTTTTACTCGCAAAATTTCAGCCAAACCCTTTCGTGTGTCACTTTTTTTGGAAAACGACAATAGCTACGTATCCCTTTGCACAAATCGCACAGGTTCGAAGAAAATTTGAAATAATTTTCTTAACAAATGAGATTCAGGCGGGTTCTGTGTGGACATGTGTAGCGGTTACTGTGGATCGATTTGTGGCCGTTTCGTTTCCAATCAAGAAACGAATCTGGTGTACCCCGATGACCTCAACGATCACTCTTTGTGCACTCACTGGATTTTGGTTGTTCTTTTTTTTTTTTTTTTTTAAATCCTTTATATGAAGGAACTTTTCAGCATTCTATACAAATTTCCGGCTTTCTTCGAATTGGAATTGAATGCAATGGTAATCATTTGATAGAGACGAAATTTTAGCTTATTTTTTTAGGGAGTTTTAAGTCAAACTTCATTGCGTTCAAGTCCAACGTATCAATTGTATTACAATGTTTTTGCTTATTCGATTGTTATGTTGGTTCTTCCGTGGACCATCATTATTATTCTTAATTTTATCGTAATCCTCAGAGTGAGTGAAAAGAAAGACTTACCGTAAATACTGTAATAGCCCCCCCCCCGCCCATAATGACGATGCGGAGTGTTGCGTAGTCTAGCTTTGAACGAGTTTTTCTCGACACTGGTTTATGCTACAATGCGCGCTTAGGTATCAAAAAATAGCCCTGAATTTCAGCTATTTTTGATACCAAAGATGCATTTTTTGAAAGTACGGGCGCTTTGAAAAAAATGAAATACTAAAAACTTTTGCGACTACGCGACTGTACGAGGGGAGTGGGGTCCTATTACAGTATTTACGGTATATTTGATTGGTTCATTATCGTAAGGCAAAGAAATTCCAGGTTCGCGAGGCTTACGGTAGACGATGTCATTTGGCAAAGCATTCACTGAGGAGATCGGTTAGAAGAAGAGATGATGCTGAAAGGTGAAAGAAATTGATTCATTCTAAAAAAGAAATTCTAGACGATGCACAATAATGGCTGTTGTTATGATTAGTCTTTTCTTCTTTCTCAATCCACCATCATTAATCAATCATCTCATTGAAGCTATTATGCCGCCTGATCGACAAGTGAGTACTGGAAATGAGTACCGGAATCAATATTTTAGTTTAATCAATCAATAATCAATCAATCAATCAATAATCAATCAATCAATCAATTTAATTTTAGCCCTTCCGTGAACGGATTCCGATCTCGAATCTTCTGGTGTGCATCAATAGGTAAGAAAAAAAAGATAATATTCTGTGAGTTAGAGAGTCAGAGTCGGCTTAAAGCTTATAAGTCAGACCAAGCTGGGCAAGGCCAAGTCAGGCAAGGTCGGACAAGAAAGTTTTTAGCCTAGAGATTTCTTGTAAGCCAGGTTTGCAGCTTAGCTAATCCAAAAGCCAGACCAAGCCAGAAGAACAGGGTTTTACTCCGGCAATCTCTTAGTAGTCATAAGAAAGATTTTCAGTGCCTCGAATATTTTGATCTATTGTGTGTTCAATCGAAAATTTCGGCGGACAATCGGCGGATTGTTAGGAATTGCGGTAAAATCTTGTTTCAAATTATCATTCTAAAGAGGTTCTTTGTTTCAAAAATGAATTATTGAGTTGTAGATCCCAGAGAATGAGCGAAGGGGAGTCTTGGAGAGAGCTGGATCATTTGTGATAACCGGGTTTGCTGTTAGAATGATGGCTTCACAATGGAAGCAGAGATCAAATAATGGATCATTGAAATCAAATCAGGTATTATCACTAAAATTAATCTTTAGCTTTTCAATTTTAGACCCGTTTTGGTGATGTTTCGACTCCACTTGAAGGAGAAACGCTTCTTGGAATTCCTACGTAATCCATTTTGATCCTTATATCATTTTGATCGGGTAACGAACGGGTATTTCTTCTGTACATGTTTATTGATTGTTTTGTAATAAAAATCTTTATTAAATCTCTTTTTTTTTATCACAAAATAGTGTCTAACACTTGGGGAACCGAGAGAAATAAAGAAGCTGTCGAGAAAAGAATGAAAGCTGAAAATGAGAAAAGACACACTCGATCGACGACAGTTGAGGCAAATTTCCAGTCATCCTAAATTTTGAGCTCATTACATAAAGTAAAGAATAATAAAAGGGGTATGAGATGATGGCAAAATGATTAAGTGAAGATTTAAGAAAGAAAGATTTCCGGAGAGGGGAAGAGATATTAGATGCTTCTGGGCAGATTCTTTAACCACTGAGCGGTCTCTCTTGGCGAGAGACGAAAGAGGAAGAAGCATCTAATATCTCTTCCGACCACGGAAGAGACATTAGATGCTTCTGGGCAGATTCTTTAACCACTGAACTATCCGGTCTCTCTTGACGTGAGACGAAAGAGGAAATACAATGGAGAAGAGAAGGAAATACCCGGCTCTTCACCACCAAAATAGATGTCTTTTAAAAAACGAGCCATTGTCGTATTTGTTACCGTAAATGTCTGATAAAGTATGCAAGCTCAATCTCTGTCAGTTAAAATCACAGATAAGCTGATTATTTTTCTAACTTTTTCTAATGTTCCTTACTTTATGAATCTTCTATTTCTATTCTGCATTAACTTTGACCGATAAGCAAGTCAAACTCTCCATTGTTCTCACCTCAACTTGTTTATTTTCTTCTTGTTCTTCGAAATGAGCATTAATACTCTGAAAAATGATAATTCTAAAGAATTATTAAAATAACTTACAGCTAAATTATAATAAATTTGTTGTAAGATGAGTAATTGAGCAATTGCTCCGCCCGGTACTCCGCCTTCTTTTCCAATTGTCGAATATGTAGGCAACCATGAGCCCGTATGGCAATCTTTGCTTAACGATTGCCTAAATATCATGAATATATTAAAACTCACATTTACTATCTAATAATTAAATATTTTCATGTATTAATAACCTTTTTGGATCAGTCTCATCTTCTAATTGCCATCGCGGAGAGCTCACTGGACTATCGACCAAAAGTTTTGCTAATAAAGTTGACACACATTGATCGATTCTAAAGTTTTCAATAAGCTGAAATCTTAGATAACATTCAATTGATTATCAATTCTTATCAATTCTTATCAATTTTTATCAATTCTTATCAATTCTTATCAATTCTTATCAATTCTGATCAATTCTGATCAATTCTTATCAATTCTTATCAATTCTTATCAATTCTTATCAATTCTTATCAATTCTGATCAATTCTTATCAATTCTTATCAATTCTTATCAATTCTTATCAATTCTTATCAATTCTTATCAATTCTTATCAATTCCATCAACTTACTCGGCAACTTTTGGCTCTTCATCTTTTTTCATTGTTCTTTTCGTGGCCGTCCATCCAGGTCTTCTCATCATTAACAAATACGGTAACCATTCAAGGAAAACTTTTCGGAACTAAATTTCTTTGTAAATTCTTTGTAAATCGAGAATATTCAATGCTAAATGAAATCAGAATTCTTACTAAATGACCCATTTCATGGGTTTTCGAATTTCTGTTATGAAGATTGAGGGCGAGTGCCGTGAAAACGACCGAACCCGCACACGTGGACATGCATAAAGCAAAAAATGCACCTGAATTAAAGAAATTCTTAAGTAATTGAATAAAATCTCAGCTAATCTGCTTTCTAAAACTATCGTAATCTTGGCAAAGAGATAAACCTAGAAATGGTATCGCTTCCGAAGTTGGCGGTGAAAGTTCTGTGACATAATTTTGAAAAATACAAATCGAGAGCATGATTGTGATTTCTGAAAGGTGATTTTTTCGTTTATTGTTTAGTTTATTGTTTATTTTATTGTTTATTTTATTGTTTAGTTTATTGTTTAGTTTATTGTTTAGTTTATTGTTTAGTTTATTGTTTTATTGTTTATATTTTTAATTGTTATTTATTGTTATTTATTCTTATTTCTTATTTTCACTTACGAAGTGACATTTTTTCGCCGGCATCTGGTGGAAGAGTGAAACCGATTAAAGTAAGCATTGTAATCAAAATACAAGGGATTATCAAATTAAACCCTTAAAATAAATTGATTAATCAAAAATATATGATTTAATGAACTTGAAAAATGAAAATAAATGAAATTTAATGGTTATCGGGGGGATCGAGGTTCTCGCTAACTTGCAACCCGATTTTAGATAGATTTTTGTTAATAACTTTTGATGAAACAAATAGTTTCTGAAAGTTGACGTTATAAGCTATCTAAATTCTATTAAAACTTTATGATCTGACAAGTTTAAGGTGCTTAAAGGGGTACTCCGGCCTAAAAGTTGTCTTTCAAGAATTGCGATCTAATTCGATTGCGATCATATATATCTAATTCGATGCATTTTAGTCTTCTCTACAACTATTTCCTATAAGAGAAACAAGGTTTTCAATCGAGAAATGAAAAAAACACAATGTTTGTCTTCCATCCCACCCTAAAACGTGGATATTTGGGCGAAAAGTATAAAAAGGTTCCGTCTAATTGCATTTTAGCACTTGCGTTCTTTTCTTTTGCATGTATTTTCTCAAATTTAGCAGCAATCATAAATATCTTTTGTTTTTTTAATAGAAAACATTACATTCTAAAAGAATAACTTTAAAAAAAAAGGTGAAAATCAGACTTAAAAAGACGTGAAAAACGGGTGCCCAATTTAACACTACGCGACACTCCGCACCGTCATTATGGGGGTGGGGTGCTATTACAGTCTTTCCTTAGACCGGAGTACCCTTTCAAAAATGAGCTTCAAGTTGGCAAAAAAGGCCGATCCCCCGATAATCGTAAAGATCCGCTTTAATTACCGTAATAAAGTGAGCGTCGATGAATAACAAAAGTGAAAACAACATCATAATATGGCTCGAGACAGCATTCATAGTATTGTATGTTTCTCTGAGCATTTGTGTCTAAAAAATTAACTTTTAACTGAAGCTTTTGATCTTTAAATAGTTGTTTGTAATATTTTTATTTAAAAATAACTATATTTATGTTGTTGTTTTTTTTTTACTCACGAATCAATTTCCATTCTCCATTACTCATAAAAGTTGACGTCTCCAATCCGTCATCATCCACTTGCAATTCAAGCTTTGTTCCATCAAAAGTCCAAGAACCAAACTGAAAATAGTTCTATATTCATTTTTCTATATCTTTTTTAGTTTATATTGTTCTATTTTCTTTTTAAAATCTGTTCTCACCTTCATTTTACAATATTGCATATCAAATGGGAACCAAACAACTTGGATCGTGCAACTCAATCGAAAGATTGCTAAAAGAATCATAGCTTACGCAATTATAGCTTACGGTAATCGTGCTGAATGTTTAAAACTGGATAAAAAAAAGATAAAAAGTTAATTTATAATTATAATTCACAAGCCTGGAGGCACCCATAAACAATTTCCATCTGGATAAACGAGAACATTTGAGGCGTGCATTGAGTCGAATTGTGGATCAGCACTGTTATACATCAAAATGTCTGGAGTCCAGATTTGGCTCTGAATTTCTTTTGTCTTTTTCTTTTTCATTTATCAAGTAGACTTTTTTAAAGCGAAGATCTGAGACTCCTCCATGCGCTTTTTTGTCCCACATTAGATGGTAATCGTGCCAAGTCTAGGATTTTAAGATTATCATTAGAGTTTTGTTTTAATACCAATTTAAGCCAAGCATTCACGTCGACAAGCTGATTCTTTTCATCCTGGAAATGATTTTTTAAAAGGCTGAGTCTTTAAAGTCTTTAAAAGTCTGAGTCTCTAAAGTCTTTAAAAGTCTGAGTTTTTATCTTTAAAAGTCTGAGTCTTTAAAGTCTTTAAAAGTATTTTTTAAGTGCCTTAAAAAGTTAGGGATATTTAAAGTTTCAAAGCTATATTTGAAGTTCAAAATTTTTAAGTCAAAGCGCAAATGAAACTGAAAGAATTTGGTTTTAAAATAGTTTTAACAATAAATAGGGTGCTTACCGATTACACGCCAGGAAAGGTAACAAATTAGCATTTAATTGCATCATACCGGTTTCATTTTTTTGAGTAACTTGAGTTTTTGAGTAGATGACCAAGAACCGCAAAACTTTTGTTCATATACTCTATCTAAATCTGCTATTTTGTTATTTCTCCGGGCGTGTAATCGGTAAATACCATAAATAGTTTTATAAATAACTTACCGTAAATACTGTAATAGTACAGTCGCGTAGTCGCAAAAGTTTTTTAGTATTTCATTTTTTTCAAAGCGCCCGTACTTTCAAAAAAATGTATCTTTGGTATCAAAAAATAGCTGAAATTCAGGGCTATTTTTTGATACCTAAACCCGCATTGTAGCATAAACCAGTGTCGAGAAAAACTCGTTCAAAGCTAGACTACGCAACACTCCGCACCGTCATTATGGGCGGGGGGAGGAACTATTACAGTATTTACGGTAGCTATGGGTTATCGAAGATTTTCTAACAAACCACAGAAATGATGCTTTGTAGAGAGAGTCCCATTTTGACGACAACTGCTTGCGATGAGTTTTCCACCGGTCTTTCCAAAGGCTCATAGTCTTCGAGAATTTGCGCGTACAAACGACCCTCATTTTTATCGGAATAAACAGCAAAATTGAGTAAACTGAATATGATCACAAATGGAATTCGGTACATAACTACATGTCTCTTTAGCTGAATCGTCTGTGTACAAGAAGATCGGATTGTTCTCTTCTTTTTTTCTGTCTCTCTTCGCAAATCTCAGAGATCGATACCTGGGCACACTTTTTTTCTGTTTGGGACTTGCATCCGCTCTTGGTTAGAAATCTTAAGTGCGAGACATTGCAAACATCGACACAGAGAGATTTACGAAGTGCGGAGGGGACTTCTTTCTTCTCTCTGTACTCATAAAGTCAACATTTTGTTCTTATTGGATATTATATGATGTCAAAGTCATGCAAGAGACAGTATGGATAAAATAAAGGGTACAGATTTGGGTAAAGTTCGATTCGGACTTGGGTTGATTTGAAGTTCTAACAGATCCAACAGATCTAGAACCCGATCTAGCTAATCCAAAGGTATTCCAAAAACTAGATCAGCTGGATTTTGGGCTTTGTCTGGAGTGAATTCAAAACTGAAACAGTTACTTGGAAGCTTTGTATAAGCTCTACTCTCATTATCAGGTCCACCTGATCCGAAAAATTCTAGTCTAATCAATCCTATCACTCTGATAAGCCGATTTGCTGCCTGTGTCTAGTAGATTTTGAAAAGTCGTTAACTCAATACAAAAATGAGTTTCCATATCACATTTTCTCCTAGTCAGCTGACCAATTTCGCTAATCATGGCAAATAATATTTTCGATCTAAGAGTGTTTTTGTGTAACAAGAAAAACACATTAAATTCCACAGATAATATTGAATTCCACAGTCAGTTCTACAGTCATGTGCAAAAGTCTTTTAACACTCAATTTTCGAAAAAGTTACATCGATTTTCTTTGATAAAGTTCGATCGATGCCTACTCGTGTTAAAGAAGTACTTTTGGCAAAAGGAGGGCCAACAAAATATTGATTATAAGTTAATTTCGTCTTGTGTTAAAAGACGTGTTTTGTGTTTTGCACCACGATTTTCAGGGGTGTTTTGACAATTATATTTTTTTCTCGATGAATAAGTTTTGTATAGCGACAGCGTTTGTGTAAATAAATTGTACATTCCGTAAATACTGTAATAGTACCCCACCGCCCTCGTACAGTCGGGTAGTCGCAAAAGTTTTTTAGTATTTCATTTTTTGCAAAGCACCCGTACTTTCAAAAAAAGCGTTTTTGGTATCAAAAAATAGCTGAAATTCAGGGCTATTTTTTGCTCCTTAAGCGCGCATTGTAGCATAAACCAGTGTCGAGAAAAACTCGTTCAAAGCTAGACTACGCGACACTCTGCACCGTCATTATGGGGGTGGGGTACTATTACAGTATTTACGGTATATTTGTGTAACTAAAACTATTAATAGCTTAAAGAGCGTCATGAACTTTATCAAAGAAAATTGAAGAAACTTTTTAGAAAATTGAGTGTTAAGAGACTTTTGCACATGACTGTATTTTCCTTCTTTTCTATTCCGTGTATTTTGCTCGTCTGCTTATTCATTTGCCGAATAAAGTATACATACATAAAAAAGGCTGTTTCCCTTTTTTCGGCGTGTTATTGTCCCTCTTATGAATCATTGATGACAGTTCGGACGGTCTTTTCTTCTCTTTTTTCATTTGTTTTTATCGTGTTAGAGCGCGTTTGAAATCGTAATGCACAATTGTTAATTTGGAGAGAAGAAATTCGTGAAGAAAATTTCCACAGTTGGGTATTTTTGTTTCATTTTTGGATTGAAACTTTTTTCATTTTTAAAAGCTTGGAATTGGGGACTTTTACTTCGGAAATTTGGTTTGTATTTAGTTTAATATGCAAAGCGACGAAAGCATTCAGTTAAAGTATTACAGTTGGTTTCATTGTTAGATATTAATCAGAGCTATCGAATGAAACCAACTGTAGCCAGATCGGCAGTATACTCCATGTAAAGAAAATCCCACAAAATTGTCATTTCTCAAAACGACAGGTTGAGGGTTAAATCCAATCATCATTCCTTTTCGACAAGGTTGAGGGTTAAATCGAATCATCATTCCTTTTCTCAAAAATTTCTTCCAATTAGCGGTTTGCTCGTTATAAATGTCTTAAATTATCAAGTTAAATCAACCTTTTAACATCAAAGAACCGAAAATATTGGGGCCCTCTTTACCCTCTCTCTTTCTTTTCTCCTTTTCAAATCCCGTCTTTAGTTTTCTCTCGTTGATTTCCTCAGGAATTGTTCGGACAGAGACTTTCAACATTATGCAAGGTTTACCGCGAAAATTTCCATGAGGCAATAGTGCCAATGCTTTTTGCTTGAAATTTACTTCTTATTTCATCATTTTATGAAAGAGTTTTCATGTTTCATCTTTAGTTGTATTGTTTACCTTAATCATGTTTTTATTTAGACCATGTTAGACTTGGGACCAGTCGAAAATGTGCTTTCACTTGCGGATTCCTACAAGGTAAAATTCTAAAATTTGAAATATTAACGTCTTTTTTAGATCACTCATCACAGTCAATACCCGGAAGGAACCTCTTATGTGTACAGCTACTTTGAATGCAGAGGTGGCAAATTTCCGGAGGTTAGTTGTTGCCGGAGCTTAACTTGCTTTAAATTACCAGTCAATCTTTGAAAAATATTACGTTGCTGTAGAAGAATGCCGTAACATGCTTTTTTGTTTAGGTTTGCTTCTTTGGCCTCCAGTACATAATCAAAAGATGGCTCGATGGAGAAGTTGTCACGAGGAAGATGGTTCTCGAAGCAAAAGACTTCTACAAAGACCACTTTGGCAGCGACTACTTCAATGAAGAGGGGTGGTTGTATATCGTTGAAGTAAGTTCATTTGATACTTATTTCACAGTCTGAGAGTTTAATATAGTTTTTATTTTAGAAACACGATGGACGCCTTCCATTGAGAATTCGAGCTGTTCCGGAGGGCTCTGTTGTACCTGTCAAAAATGTGTTATTCACCGTTGAAAACACAGATCCGAAAGTCCCATGGCTAACAAATTGGTTTGAGGTAAAGATAATACATGATTATCTCAATATTATTATGTGAGTTTAGACACTATTGGTCCAAGCATGGTATCCAATCACGGTCTGCACCAATTCAAGAGCTCAAAAAGAGTTGATAGCCAAGTAAGCAAATTTCTTGTGCAAAAGCAAAGCTTTTTCTTCTAGATATTTAATCGAAACGGCAAATGACATCTCAGGATTACCTTTTAAACTACACGATTTTGGTTACCGAGGATCCACAAGTGTTGAGGTCTGGATCATTTTTTAAACTTATTGCCTACGTTGCTTTTAGAGTGCTGGAATTGGAGGCGCAGCTCATTTGGTGAATTTTCAAGGCACGGACACAATTTCTGGATTAAGAATGCTAAAAAAGCGAGTTTTATTACAAACAATCTTTTGACTCTATTAAATTTAAAAACTTTTAAAGAGCCACTAAAAGATTAAAATAAATAATAAAAACCTTTAGGTATTACTCATGTCCAATGGCTGGTTTTTCTGTGCCGGCAGCTGAACATAGGTATTGACATTTTCAATGTGTTAAACGTAAACTCATTATTTAGCACAATTACTACCTGGCAGAAAAGTGGTGAAGCCGAAGCCTACCGACATATGCTGGAGCAATTCCCTACTGGACTCGTTTCAGTTGTTTCGGATAGCTACGACATTTATCATGCGGTATCGCACATTTGGGGTGAAGAATTAAAGGTGCGTTTGTTGTTTGTTGCTTTTTTTTTGCAATTTACTATTTGTTTTAGGATATTGTCGTCACAAGAGGTAACAACGGATGTTTAGTGATTCGTCCAGACTCTGGTGAACCGGTCAAAGTTGTTCTTGAGGTTGAAGTTGCTTTTTGTGTGACAATAATCTTGCTTTTAGGTTCTCAACCTGCTTTCCGAGAAGTTCCCTATAACAGTGAATAAGAAAGGCTTCAAGGTCGGGTATTCATTGTGTCAAAAAATTTACAAAAAACTTTAGATGCTACCTCCGTATCTTCGGATTATTCAAGGGGACGGTATTTGCTATGAAACCATTGAAGAATTGCTTCAAACTCTAAAAGTAATTTTCTTTTTGTTCAAAACCAAAGAAACTTTAGACTGCTGGTTGGTCAACAGATAACGTTGTGTTCGGAACGGGAGCAGCTCTACTGCAAAAAGTAAATCGAGATACGCTGAAATGTGCATTCAAGTGCAGTCATGTTGTTGTCAATGGAAAAGAGGTTTTTAATCTTAAATTTCAAACTGTTAAACATTTCAGATCGATGTTTTCAAAGATCCGGTCACCGACCATGCTAAACAAAGCAAAAAAGGACGTTTAACACTGGAACGATCCCCAGATGGTGGATGGGCTACTATGCAAGAAGGGACAGGCGATTTGAAAAAGGTATATTTGTTGTGGTATATTGTTTTAAATGGCTTTGTTTCAGGATCAACTCCTTACCGTCTTTGAAAACGGCAAACTTCTGGTTGATTGGACGTTAGATGAAATTCGAGAGCGTGCCGAGTTCGATTTTGTTAAAAAGGTAAGTAATTTATTCAGTTATTCATGTGTGGGTTTAAATTCAGGCACTCGCCACTGAGACGGTGACTCACACAAATGGACATGGGCACTGTAACGGCAACTCAATTGGCGATCATTCTGATTAAGTTTTTTCGATTTCTTTTCTTTTGTATTTGGCACTTACTCTATACGGGTGTAGTTTTGAGCTCAAAATGTCTCTCTTTTTTATATGATCCCTTTTCAAAAGAGCTTCATAGTCGGTTATTCTAATTTTAATCCGGTTGTTATTCTTCCTTGTGCTATTCTCTACGTCTCAATCTTGCCACCTTTCTTTTTCATAAGGCCCAACTTTAGAAAGATTTTTGCTTTTGTTTTAGAAAGATAACCTCGAACCGGTTTATCCACAGTGTGTTTTAGTTTCATGATCTCCTCGATTTTGTAATAAATATAATTTCTATTGGTTGATCAAATAATAACAGGCATATTTCCACTAAGGTTTATGAAAACAAGTTTAACTACGGTTTTTGTCTACTTGACTTTCAGAGTGCATGCTATTGAATTTTCGACAATTTGTCTGCAATGTAAGATGTTATGCTTCCGTGAAACGAAAGCTGAAGGATTACAAATTTCCTGTAGTAGACCCAGAAGAGTGTGAACAGGTATTTGGATTATGTTGCTTTTTATATTTCTTTTAGAAGTACATGTCTGGATGGGGTCCTGGTGGACAGAAAGTAAACACGTCTCAAAATGCTGTACAACTCAGACATAACCCGACAGGGTTAGTTGTGAAGGTCTTTATTTTAAAATTCATTAATCTCACCTCTCTCAGGTACACGAATCTCGACTTTTACCCAAGAACATCGAAATCGCTTTCGAAAGAATGAAATTTGCTCTCGATCGGCACATAAATGGAGAGAATTGTTATGAGGAACAGTTGAAACGTTTACAGGTTTTTATGCAAGTGTTGAAAGTTAGAAGTAATGAAATTTTAGAAGGAGAAAGAAATTAAATCCAATAAAGCGCGAGAAAAGCATCGCCGTTTGAAAGCTGAATACGAAAACGAGCGGAGTGATGATCAAAGTTGAGTTATTTTGGCACTATTTACTACCATGTTCACCGTTTCCTTAATAAATATTGTAAAAAGATAATAAAAATTGAGCATAGTCATGCAATTTTAATTTCCATATGTATGTTGCAGCCGGTTTGCCAATTAGATATTCTCGGAGCTTGTTTCAATTTTTAGGAGCTACTTCCAATTTCTTTGTTAAACTGCCCGCAGTGTAAGTTAAAGAAGGGGACCCCAAAGAAGGGAGTTATCATCAAGCCGATTGTCACGCAGTAGCAGAACGAGCGGTACCAAGTCAGTCGATCTCATTGATCTACCTACGTTCCCGATGGTGATTACTGGTTCCTTATGGTATATCAGGATCACTTAACGATCACTTAACGTCATTCTGAGATTACTGAAATCCAAAACTATAGCAAATCGGCTAGCGAAAATTTTTCATCAGCTAGCCGCTATGCTTTCAAAGCAAATCGGCTACGACATATAGTTTTAATTTGTAAACTCCTTTTAGCAGTTTTATTTGCTCGACAATTGCTTTGTTAGTCATTACATAGTTTTCATCATTTTTGATGTTTTATCTGGTTTAGCAATAGTCGAATCCATTCCACAGGTCTGTACTCTCCGTTAATGACTGAATGCGCATCTTTCGAGTCCAATCTTGCGATGTTTCTCTCTTTGAACATTTCATCGGCCCTTTTGATCCCATCTTTGTTTAGTCCTTTGCTGAAAGTTGGTTTCATTTTTATGCTAAGTTTGCGATCTTCAAATGTGAAGAAAATTTCAATCTCCCACCTGCAATCGGTTATTATCGCCGATAGGAAACCAAGCTCGGATGAGTGCAATAACGTAGAGGCCACACAAATATCATAGGCTAATCCTGAAGCAAGGACGGCTGTAATATTTTGGTCTTTGAGCAAATCTTCCAACGGAGTTCTGAAAGAGGAAATTGGTGAATCATTTGTTGTTTTGAATGAACTCACTTTCCGAGTTTTGCATTATCGAAGAAAGCCGAATAGGAATCAACGTAGACATCTGTTCCTTTTCGAACCATATGTGAGCCATTCACAATATCTAATCGAGAATCTAGCTCAGCTCCCCACGATCCTTGGACACAGTGAGTTGGATAAAGAATCTGCAAATTCTATATTGGTAGTATATTTTAGAAAACCCCAATAATTTGCATCTAGATAACTTACCTGTGATGTATTCGGTTGCTCAAATTGCACTTGTGAGAAGAAGTGCAAATCTTGCTGATCTTTCACGGCTAATCGTCGATCGGAATCTCGTGCATGGTCAAGAAATGAGATATGATTACTCGGATGCCAATCCAACGTATACACAACAATATCGATTTTCTGTAAAAGCAATTAATTAAACATTCCACTCATCAATAAACCTCATTTGAAAGCACAGAATTCAATGGTTGAATCGCGTCATCAGGGTTGTCTTGAGCATCTCCAATCTGAAATTCTTCATTCTCCAAAGTTTTTTTTTCTTGTTCTACCTTGACACTCAACGAGCCATTGATGAAATCATTTTGAAAATCCACAACAATCACAGCAATTTTTAGCTAAAATTTTTGTATTGTATTATTTTGTGCAAAAGTTACATTGGCAAGTGGTGTGATCACTTTTTCTTTCAATTTCTCGTACCATTCATTCGTGAGTGTTCCTCGTGTACACTAAATTTCATTTCAAAAAAAAAAAGTAACCACGTTTTAGAAAAGGACAACGATTTTTTTCTCGATTTAACGGCTTTGCTTTTGGCTTTTTTTTGTGTGGTAACAAGATGAGATTCGTGGGCTATCTGGCTTAGTGGGGTTATGAGAAGTGTCCACCCTACACTGTGAAAACTGTTTTCTAAAGCCTGGATACTTTTTTCAATAAAATGAAAGATAACCGGGGGTGGGACAAATGCGACCTTTTTTTTGCGCACCTGGACATTTGCGCACCTTTTTTTTGCTGGAAAAGGCCTTAGGCAAGGCCGTAGAGCTTCGAAAATATTTCCATATAAGGGAATCGTATGTGTAGATTCCGAATTTTGACAAATCAGACCTCGCTGACACCTTAAATTTGGGCTAAAAGGCAAAAACTGCGGAAAAGCGTTAAGTTGCGTAGTTTTTGCCTTTTAGCCCAAATTTGACGTGTCAGCGAGGTCTGATTTGTCAAAATTCTGAATCTACGCATACGATTCCCTTATGTGGAAATATTTTTGAAGCTCTACGACCTTTCCTAAGGCCTTTTCCAGCAAAAAAAAGGTGCGCAAATGTCCAGGTGCGCAAAAAAAGGTCGCATTTTTCCCACCCCCAGATAACCCGTTAAATCAATGAACTTTTCCCTGACTTACCAATGTGATTTCTGCTATCAAATCTCCCCATATTTCTTCATTGAAAGATTCCCCGCTGAAAAGTCGAAGATCATCAAGGAAATCCTCATAGAATTTTGTCGTTTCATTGTTATTGTGAGATCCCATCTGATTGCTTTCTGCCTTTTGAATACAGATACACTTAGATGAAATAATAGAGATTAAACTAAGAAAATAGGTCTTCATTTCTATAGGAATAACATGACAATTGTGACAGTAAATGGAGCAGATTTTGGAAAACTTTCGTGCCAATTCCAACTAATTACAAGTCAAGAAATCAGCTGTGAAATTTGGGTAAAATAGAAGTGTTAAGGGAAGTGTTTGCCAAAGAATCGCCAAAAGACTTTTCAAAGGTCAGAAGAAAAAAGCACCAAAAAAACTGCTGATTCAGGAAACACCAAATAATCGGCTAAAGAAGGCAGTCTGTCTCCTTGAGCCTTCGTTCTGTTGATTGATAATTGAATTTTGTCTCTCGGCAGAATAGACTTCGAAAAAAATGAAAAGAAGCGACTTTTTGAAGTGCAAAAAGTCGAAAATCGAAATGAGTTTTGCACAAATTGACTTTTTGCAACTTTTTGAAAAGTTGAATAGAAGAAAAGTTGACTCAAAGGGATGCTCGAACAAAGTTAGGCAGTCGTTAAGAGATAAAAGATTGCTCTTGTTTTTTTTGAGTAGCGATTCGACCTCTAAATCATCACGTCATCACTTTTTCTAAAGCCTAAGCCAATATTTTTTGTTTTTCTCTTTTTTATTGCATATTCACACTTTCACACTTACTAGGAATTCCTCGTTCAAGGGAAATAATTGCAATTCCCTATCCCGATCACGGAATCTTTTCAACGGTTTGCCAGTAACCAGTGCCAGTGACCAGCTTTTGACACTGGTACCTAATGAAATTTGATTGGCTCATTGTTCCCGTTAACAGCACAATTTTCTCAAGAGAAAATTGTGCTGTTAACGGAAGCACTTATCCTCTTGAGTCAATCAAAGACAATCTAAGCTCAACATTTCTTCCATGTAACAAAAAATAAAACAAACTATTGGCTCTAGAAAAAGTTATGACGCCGAAAACTTAAATCAAGTTTTCAACCACCATTGCGGATTCTGTAATGAGAGAATGGTTGGGTAACTTGTATTTTTCAGGTTCTATCAAACGTCTCTGAGTTCAGGAAACTGTACACCGTTACAAAATCATACTCACCAACCGAAAAACCCCGCCTAACATCGGGCTTTATAGCTGTCGCTGTGGCATGATCGGGAGCGCGCTTGTTTCTATTGCCTTACAACAACTGCCTTACAGCAAATGCCTGTAAGTGTTGTCGAACTTCGAGCTGTGTCGTGACTTTTGTTTTTTAAAAAAACGAAATATGAGATGAAAACAGGGAAAACAACTATCAAATACGAAAAATGGCAATTATTGTGTTAGATGAGAAATTGCTCTTTTAAAAACGGGAGATGATGAATTTCTAATGATAATTGGTAAAGAATTCCAATGCGATTTTGAAAGCAATTAAAAGTAACATTAGAAAGGGATTTGGGATACCTAAAAGATATGCCTCTTCTAGAGCTTGAGGGGGCAGAGGGAGAGAAGAAATTTGCAAAAGGGATCAAGAATGTTTGCACTTCAGAATTTTAAAACATTCTAGTTTACCACTCGAATGACCCGGATAACGGATAAAAAGCCTAGAAATTTCAATTATTCATTGAAGTTCGAATAAATACTTGATTTTGTCAAGGTTATTCTATAAAACTTGGAATGAAGATTGGAATAAGCAAAAAAAAGAATGGGCTTCGAACGGCTGTGGACATAATTGGTTTTCTCTGATCTGAAAAAAAAAGACCTCCAAAAGAGCTTTTCCCCGAAAAAGTCTAGCCGAATTTTTCTTTTCAAAAAAGCTTCATCAAAAAGCCTAAAAAGTACTTTTTAGTAACCAATAATCAAACCATTTTGTTAACTTTAAAAGAACAAGAAAGAAATGAAAGAACAAGAACAAGAACAAGAAAGACATGAAAGCATGGAAGACATGAAAGACATGAAAGACATGAAAGAATAACATGAATAACACGAAAGAATGGGCTTCGAACCACCCAGCTCGCAGAAAGATTTCCTGAAAAAAAACAAGAATGCTTTTCATATCTTTTATGATCGAGTTTTTAATCGTGTAATAAAACGGGTAAAATGATAAAATCTCCAGAATTTCCCAGCTCGAAAGAAAAATTTCGTGAAAATAATTACCGTAAATACTGTAATAGTACAGTCGCGTAGTCGCAAAAGTTTTTTAGTATTTCATTTTTTTCAAAGCGCCCGTACTTTCAAAAAAAGCGTCTTTGGTATCAAAAAATAGCTGAAATTCAGGGCTTTTTTTTTGCTCCTTAAGCGCGCATTGTAGCATAAACCAGTGTCGAGAAAAACTCGCTCAAAGCTAGACTACGCAACACTCCGCACCGTCATTATGGGGGTGGGGTACTATTACAGTATTTACGGTAAGGTAAACTTCTTTAAACTTTAAACCTCTGAAAGTTATGAATTTTCAAAAAATTGCTCAAATACTGTTTGAAAAGATCTTTCAATATCTTTTAGAGATTCAAAATGAAATTGAAAAAAGCGGCGAGCTCGGGACGGAAATTTATGGCATTCATTTTAAGGAAGTGTTTTTATTTTTGAATGAAAATTTCAGAAAGCAGAGAAATTGGATGCACATTTTGAGATGAACTAGCCCAATAAAACCAAATGAAAACCAAATAATTCTAAATACTGAAAGGTAAAAAGGTAAAGTCTTTTAACTTTTGTCAGCTCACAACATTGCTGCCATCAGTTTGAATGTCAGCGTTCTCTGTTTGTGCAAATATTTTTGTTGTTGAAATCCTTGTCGCTAGGAGACCCATTTTGGAAGATTTCCTTTGCACTTTCAGCTGGTTTCATCTAGAAACATAAAAAATTTCTCGTTTAAAGGATAAGTGTCAAAAAAAATGGCCTGAAATCCTCATTTCAATGTTGGAAAAATGTTTTTAGAGTATTTCCAGTTTTCAGGCATCATAGAAAATCCTGTACTCTCCTATTATAAATCCGCATGTCAATTGAGCTAATCATTTTGGATTTATAATATTGCTTTATCTACTTGAACAAAGCCTATCTTAAACATATCTTAAACATATCTTAAACATAGCTTAAACTCAATCTAAACATTTTAAAGTAGTCTAACTTGGGGTACACAATGGGGATGTATTGGGTTGATGGAAAAGTCCTTTCTGATTTTTTGGGAGAGTACCTTAAATTTGTCCAATTTTGACGTTTTATAGCTCATCCTAAAGCTGAATTCAAGACCATTTTTTGGCTCTGCCGCCCTTTACTAAAATAGCTGTAAAAACTTTTAGAAAAGAGATATCTCAAAACGGTTTTTACCAATCGATCCGTCTTGAATTCAGCTTTAGGATGAGCTATAAAACGTCAAAAATTCGACAAATTTAAGGTACTCTCCCAAAAAATCGGAAAGGACTTTTCCATCAACCCAATATAACAGGATAGTACCGAAAATCCTATTACCATTGTTAACTGGGGAAAACCTTGACTAGAGAAGATTACTGTCGGGATTTCGTCGGGATTTCTGTCGGGATTTAGCGGATTTAGCTCATTTGATAGAAAATTGAATGAAGAATCTGAATCCGAATCCGAATTCGAATGTGGGGATTTCAAAGCGGATAGCTCATTCGATCAAAAATTGAATGAAGAATCCGAATCCGAATCTGTAAGCAAAGTCTGCAAAATAGTTCTGCGAGATTTTCGGGATCAAGTCAAGAGGAAAGTTTTCCCTTTACACTCTTGAGTTGTTCATTGGAATTCAAATCGAAATTATAACCGAAGAACCTGTCTAATAGAAACAAATCTAGTAAAATGAATATGTTTGTCTGTTCGGAGATGAGTTGTGAAGGGTTTTGCAATAAAAACGAATACCCAGTGAACAAGTGCTTGGTAAACATGAGTTGCTAGATGGAGAAAAAGAAGAGATGAAACAATGTTCTTGGCCTTAAATCTATTGCAATTTCTTGACCTCTTGACACTGAGGGGTTTTCTTATATTTCTTTGTAATACAAACATTTCCCTAATCCCATGTTAGACATTTTTTTCGTTTGTTTATACAACTGTGCAATTTATGAAAGAAGCAAACATTGTATGTGTCCTTCAAATTGTTAAAGTAAAAAAAGCAATCAGCAAAACAGTATACAGTATTAAAAGCTTAAACAAGCATAATTGGATGTAAAAATATCGTAAAGGACTAGATGGAAACGAGAGAGAAAAATCCAGATTCTAAATATTTCAAAAGACTGGAAAAAGAGACAAGAACTCACAAAAGAATCGATAGAAAATATAGAAAATTATGGCATTGGGATATAAATAAGATCGTTCTGAAGAAAGGAATCTAATTGTTAGTTGAATTCAATTGCTAACTGAATCCAATTGCTAGCTGAATTCAGTTGCTAGTTGAATTCAATTGTTAGCTGAATTCAATTGCTAGCTGAATTCAATTGTTAGCTGAATGCCGAGCCGATTCAATTCTAGCTGAATCATGCTTCAATTGCTGCTGACTGCTGCTGTTCAATTCTGCTGTCCTGTTGATTGCTAGCTGAATTCAATTGCTAGCTGAATTCAATTGCTAGCTGAATTCAATTGCTAGCTGAATTCAATCGCTAGCTGAATTCAATCGCTAGCTGAATTCAATTTCTAGTTGAATTCAATTGCTAGCTGAATTCAATTGCTAGCTTCTTTTGAAACCAAGCGTTCTATAAGAAAAAACATTTGTCCAATCTTATCTTTCTTTAGAAAACAAGAAAAACAAGAATTCCTATTGTATTCTTGAAAGTTATTTTTGTAAAAAATCTATGAATCACATAGATCCTTGACTTTCTCTTCGGTGTCGAAGGAATTCATGCGCGGCTGCGGTGACTTCTCGTTGTGCAATCGTTGTCCCGTAAACAATTCTCAACCAACGACGGGCGAACTGAAATCATATCTTTTATTTAAAATATATTACTTTAATGTTAGTTTTATGCACTATAAACTCTCCAAAAGATAAGAATTGTTTCAAAAAAAATTTTGTCTTCAGAAACGAGACTGTTGGCCTTATTTGATTTGACGAAGTTTACAGAGAACTCTGAACACTTCTAGACAACTGCAGACTGTTTACAGTAAGGTAAAGTAATTGCAGTAAAATAATCAATTTCTAAAATTGAATATCTTAATTCTTAAACTTTAAAGTATTTCTTTTTTGATTTCGATTTTCTACTTATTTAATTCTTGTCTGCTCACTGGTTTCAATGGTTTCCTTGGTGTGATGAATCTTTCAGTTTTCTCTCCATCTTCTTCAATCTCTCTTCTTCTTTTTCCTTTTGATATTGTAGTTAAAGGAGTGCTTGAGATTGTGTGACGTTTTTGAAGAATTGACGGATTTTGATGAGAGATCTCTTGTTTAATCGGTTCGAGTAGAAGAATCGGGATTTGATTTGTCTCCAATGGTTCTAATGGTTCAAGAATTTGTGGAGAGAATGACTGATTGATGACTGATGGAGCTGAGTGGATTTCCTGAATATTATATAATAGTAAAGAAGGCCTTAGGGTTATAAGTCTCACCGTGCAAACGGAAAGCGATCTCGAAATTGAAGGGATCGATTGAGTGATCGGCTTTTGCTGAAATTTTCCAAATTGGTCATAGATATTTTTCTATAAAAGAAATAAAATCTAATATTGAAATTGATTATTTACCATTTCTTTTAGAACGGGTAAACTTCTTCTGGGCTTTTTGAGAGTCATCGGAGTTCTTTCTGGGCTGAAAATGAGCGGGCGACGATTCGAGAAATGTTGGATATTGTCGAAGACACTGGAAAGGGATTAGATAATGGAAAAACTGACTTTCGAAACGAAATGAAAGCCTTTTCAAAGCAATAACAAATTCTAGATAACTTACGAAGTTTCCAAAGATCCAGTGGGCATTTCGGGGATTCGATGAATTGATGAAAGAGAGGAATAAGTGGAGAGATAAGGAGATGAAGTCAAATTGAAATATTCGTTCTCCATCTGAAAGCAAAAATAGATAACAGGCTTAATTAGGGTATGGATAAGCAGGCTTTTATCTACATATATGTCGTAGCCGTTTACGAAATTCAGCCGCTAACGAATGAAATTTTTCGCTAGCGTGTATAATTTGTAATCGATAAATGACAATGAGTAATAAATAAATGACTAAATATTTCCGTTAGAGCTAGCTTCTAGAAAGCAAGAGCTTGTTCTTTCTAGCTCTAGCTCTAGCTTCTAGCTTCTAGCTCTAGCTTCTAGCTCTAGCTTCTAGCTCTAGCTTCTAGCTCTAGCTTCTAGCTCTAGCTTCTAGCTCTAGCTCTAGCTTCTAGCTCTAGCTTCTAGTTTTAGTTCTTTCTAGATAGAGCTCATTTGATTACATAAGTTTGTAAAATTGTAAAAACAATTTTTTTCTAACTCTTTCAAATGAGCTTCTATTTTAGATTTTAAAACAATCTTTGAGCTAGTTATAGCTATCATTTTTATATTGAAAATAGAACAAACTTCATCTTGATTCTCGAGCGATTTCGACGGTGTCTCCAAGTGAATCGTGTATGGAAGGGTTTTATCGGGACTATTTTCTTGTGATGCAGCCAATCCACCGGATAACATTACATCATCTCGCGGGATTTCTATCGGCAATTCTTCTTCTCCATTTTCTTCTTCACAATCCACCTTTTCCCACATCTGAAATTGATCGTCCTTAATCGAGTTTTTAGCACCTTACTCACCTCATAATTATCCATAGAAGAGTGAGTGTCAAAGTTTATTTCTCGTAATCCAATATCTAAAAGATTTAAAGTTTTGAATAACATCTTCAATTTACCAAAAGATCGATTTGAAAGAACTAAAGGTCGAGCAATTGCTGAAGCTGATCGTCTCACATTACGTCGCAATCTAGAATAAGAGAGTAAAACGGTTCTCATTTTTTTCTCAAAAGTCTATTAATCTGCGTTTTCAACTATCAAAAACTACCGTAATCTTGTCTCGCTTTTTATTCAATCTATTATAGAGATAAGCTTACCGTAAATACTGTAATAGTACCCCACCCCCCTCGTACAGTCGCGTAGTCGCAAAAGTTTTTAGTATTTCATTTTTTTCAAAGCACCCGTACTTTCAAAAAATGCGTCTTTGGTATCAAAAAATAGCTGAAATTCAGGGCTATTTTTTTGATACCTAAACGCGCATTGTAGCATAAAGGAGTGGCGAGAAAAATGCGTTTAAAATTAGACTACGCGACGCTCCGACCGTCATTATAGGGAAGCGTAGTTGCAAAAGTTTTTTAGTATTTCATTTTTTTCAAAGCGCCCGTACTTTCAAAAAATGCGTCTTTGGTATCAAAAAATAGCCCTGAATTTCAGCTATTTTTTTGATACCTAAGCGCGCATTGTAGCATAAGCCAGTGTCGAGAAAAACTCGTTCAAAGCTAGACTACGCAACACTCCGCATCGTCATTATGGGCGGGGGAGGACTATTACAGTATTTACGGTAGGTTAAAGTAAACTTTATCTAAAGAATTTATTATATTCTACATTTTTTATATTCTCAATTCCTACAAAACTTTATCTAAAGAATTTATTATATACCTAGATGGTGATGGCGTGACGAGGAGATTTGATGGAGAAGCCTTTTCACCATTCGTTGGGGTTCTTTGCAATGGTGATTGCATTGGGACGGTGAGAGATGACTGGAAATTTTAGATAGATAACTTTTTTTCTTTTTTCCATCAAGCTCTTTGTATATTGTAAGCTTTATTCTACAATTTTTATAACTGTTAAATTATTCTAGATTTTCCCTCAATTCCTACAAATCAACAGTGACACAAGATTGTTTCTCTTTCTCCTTAATTAAATGCAAATTCGAATCAAAAAGGAGAAAAGGCATAGCTGGGGGAAAGAAGAGGAAATGATCGATGAGAAATGAATGAATGGATTCAAATGGGTTGATCATCGATGAAAAGAAATCGGGGAAATTAAGAGTGACTTTTTGTTTAAAATTGTATAGAAAATGAATACCACATTTTCAACTTTTAACTTCAACTTTTATCCTAAAATTTTCTTTGAAAAGTTTGAACTCTTTTCAAAAGCTTGCAAAGAGTTTTAAGAACAAAGTAGGCTAGAGAAAGTTAGATAATTTTGAAAGCCGTTATTTCGACAACTTGTAAATTAAAGTATAGTCACAAAAAAGAATCTGAAAGGTTTAACTTTCTTAAACGTTAATACAACTGTGACTACCGTATTTTCTCTAATAGTAGTGCACCGCGGCGAGCCAAGTTGGTGACTATTTTACGGCTTTCCAAGTTTTCACAGAAGTTCAACACTCAAATCCCCACTAGATCTCATCGTCAGCTACATTTTCCGATCCCACATCGATAGATTCTGATAAGCGCTTTTCGAGATTTCGAGGAATTTAGGCGACGCTCAGGGTGCACTACTATTAGAGAAAATACGGTAGATCTTAATAAGATTAAAAACTATGAAAAATCATTATAAACTCTTGAGTTTTTAAAATTTTAAGCTTTGAACATACTATTTGAAAAAGAATCTAGGATAGATTGACCATTCTAATAAAAAATCTAGTATCTTTACCATTTACAAAAACTTATTCAATAGAATTCAACTAAAACTTACTCGTTTGCTTTTGAAAACTCTTTAGGCTTTTAACATTTGATTTCTAATTTAAAAAGTTGTCATTTCCCCAGTCATTTCCCTATAAATTCTGTTCAAGTTTGAGGCATTTTTTCGGTGGCGCAAAGACTGATTAATTCTTTAGTCTTATCTTTTGGGTCATTTCTTCTTTTTCTTCTTTGTCTTCTTTTTCTTTTTCTTCAATAAAAAAACTCGTGTGTCTTTCCCTCCCACAAATCGCCACTGTTTTGTTGTGATGAAAAAAAACGAAGGAATTTCTCTGGGTGGCGGGAAAAAAAAACTGATCTCTTTTCATAAAAAACAGAATTTTATGGTGACTTGAGGAAATGATTACTGTATATAAAATGAAACTAAATAGTAAGTAAAAGTGAGTGATTGATAATGAAAGAGAAAAATTGATCTTTTTTTTGATAAAAAGATAATGAAGCTATGAAGCGATGAAGCTAAAAAGTCCAAAGACTTTTTAGCTTCACTGCTTCATAGCTTCATTATCTTTTTATCAAAAAAATATCATTTTTTCCTTAGTTTACCTTAACTAACTAATAAGCTAAAAAGTCTAAAAAGTCTTTGAGTTTACCTTAACTAATGGAGGTGAATGAAGGCTGAAAGTGGAAGAAGATGCATAGTTGAAAGAAGCTGTTGAAAGACTTCGACGAGGAGTGGAAGCTCGCGGCCATTTTGATGGAGGAGAAAGGCCTGAATGTCAATTGATTTAATAAATAGTTGAACTTGAACGGTAAGTTGTAAAATTTCTTTATTGTCGTAAGCTTTTACAATCAAGGATCAGCGAAAAGCTAGAACAGCCAACCTGCACGAGTTGTTGACGGTAATCGATTCTCTGTGTCAATCTCTTGATCATTCCAGGGTGAATAAGTCGATGAACAGGATGGATGAAAAGAAGAGTCAACTCCATTGTTGACTCGCCATGAGGTGCTTGATTCGGCGAGTGAGTAGATTGGATGATTGGAGGACATCCAAATCCTGGAATTGAGATTAAAAATAAGTTTACAGTTTAAGTTTAAAGTTTACAAAAGTTTTACAAGAGTTTTACTAAAGTCGAACAACTCGTCAATGATCGAGGAAACATTTGGGGGGAAAGGAAATGAAGAAAAAGAGAGGGTTTTGGCGCGAAAGTTCTCGTCATTGTGGAGGGGATGGGGTGGGGTGGACAAGGAATTGGAAGGCGGACTTTCACCGGCGATTTTCCCTCCATTCAGCTTTCAATGCAAATTTGAAATGCACAATTGAACAGTGGAAAAAAACGAGTTGTCTATTCACCGGTTAACCATTGGATGAACCGGTTTTAGAATCACTTTTTAGATTTAAGCTTACAGGGAAACTTGGAAGGTTTAGCTGCGAATCAGCTTCGAATTTTGAGCAAAAATTAGCTTTCCTCTAGCACAAATGATTATAAATTATAACGTAAAGCTGTAATGTAAAGCTGTAATGTAAAGCTGTAACGTAAAGCTGTAATGTAAAGCTGTAATGTAAAGCTGTAATGTAAAGCTTTCATCTTAAAAGGCTATAAAGGTTATCGACTTGTAGCCGAGCTTTCTTAAACAATCAAAACCTATTTTTATTAAACAATTAAACTTATGATATAGTAGTTAAAACTATGGAAATTTTTGAAACAAATTCGATTCTCTTTACAATACTCAAGATTCATTTTTAGTTTTATAGAATGGATTAGAAACTTATGAGACCGGATAGGAGTCTTGTCTCCTAGTCGGGGGTTCGATCCTGGTGGGTTCGATCCCGGTGACCAGTAAAATTGGTTCTTTTTCCCATCATTATGGGTTTTTTTTCTTAACGACCTTTGGGTAATAGGATAATAATAAATTGGGTAATAATAAAGGTAAAAATTTCTTTCCTCCGTTGTGTTGTAATTCATTATTCGTGTCGAATAAATATACTTATCATCAGCTAAACCTACAACCTTGATTGGTTTTTAAGCAAAACAAAACGAAAATTAAGAAATAAAACCAATAAATGAAACAGAAACAGAAATAGAAACGATTAGAGTTAAAGAAGAAAACTCTTTTCTTTTCTTTTCAGTTAGATAAATGGGATTTGTAATGGCAGCTGGGGTGCAGGTGTGTGAATGAATTCTCGCTTTTCGGTGGCTTTGATTTCCTAATACCTGGAGATATTTCCGGCATAGCTAACGGCAACTTTATCTCAACATATCAACAACAAATTGGTAACAAGAACGAGTAACAAGAACGAGAAATGCCAATGGGAAACGAAAGGCTGAGAATGGAGTGAATGAGTAGCAAGGGACCAATTTGGGAGAACCAGAGGATCATAAAGAAGGTGAATGCCCTTGGACAGACTTTTGTGGGGAATAAATAAGAAGAAAAGAAGAGCCGACCCTCGTAATTTGAGCCCCCAGGTCGAGTACCTCAGCTATTGTCTTTTTTTGACATTGAAAGTATTCCATTAAAAGAAGTTGGTGATTGGTAGAAGAACTTTATACTAAAATTCGGCTCTTCTTCGTTATCCGATTGACAAGCTCAATGAAATGAATAGTTTTAATCGATCCCCACCCTCGAAAACCCTTGGTTACAAGTTTACAGCTGAATATCTTCTTTTGAAGCCATCTAGAAAACTCCGTCTTAAACGGCCTTTGTTAAGGGTGATGTGCGATTGTGCGCCCGCGTAATCGCTCATCATCTGGCAAACGTCCCCGGGGTAAGGTGCTTCCCTTTTGGAATTTGAAATTTAAAAAAAAAAAAATTGACCCGCTTCCCTCTTCCTTGTCGTCACTATGCCCAAATTTTTGACAACAACTTTTCCCTCAAATTTCTTCTTTTCTACGAATTCTACAGCCTTTTTTTAGCAATAAATTTTAGTTTAATTTTTTGTTTGTTTTTTTAAGCCTATTTTAGTTTAAAAATTTTTAGCAATCTGTTTCTGTTAAATTTGTATTTTTAGAATTTAGCGACCTGAATCTCGAAAGAATTTAGCAATTTTCTACAGATTTGGCCTAGAATCGTTTCTAAAACACATCAACTTTTGAAAGCTATCATAATCTTGGCTTTAGTTTTTATCAATCTATTCACATCTATGATTTTGTTAGGGTTCACAAGGATAGTCAATGAGATAAAAGTAGAGATATTGGATAAACAGTCAAGATTACGGTAGTTTTAAGTTGAGTTGTTGACGAATTTAGAATTTAAGAAGCACTCCACTCATCCCAATTCCCATCGTGCCCGAAATGTCTCTGTGAATCGAGACTTCCCGGGAAATAACAGTCGGCCGACTCTCCCATATTTCCCCAGAAAATTCCCCTATTTTTTTCCTCCATTTCCTTCACTATTCCCACTCATGTACCATGGGAAAATGGCAAAGAAATAGGGCAAAAATTGTGCGAAAATTCATAAAAAGAACTTTCTCTCATACTTGAACATTTCTTTAAAAGATAGCTGTGAGTTAAAAGAAAATACTAAAATGAATTCAAATTGAACAGATTCAAAAACTGTTCACATGTGTTTTCCCTCCATTTTTCGCACAAGTACTTGCACTTTCAGCTTTTTGTCCGATATTACTGGAGTGTCTATAAATGAAATGAATGCTTTATCTCTCAATTTAATCCCTTTCTTTTTCCTTTTAAGGCTCCAAAACTCAGCAGTAAAGGCATAAAACTTACTAGGTTTTCCCGCCAAAAAAACGTTTCCCCTTTATCAGGAAATGGCTTTTTTTGATTGCAGTAATCATAAGTAAAATTACCTCTTAAAACTTTGGGGAAAAGGGGAAAAGGGGAAAGAAGGGAAAGAGTTTTCAACATTTTAGTGGGGTGGTCAGTTTTTGAGATTGGAAAAGGACTGGTTTTGATTGAATGGATTCGAATGGAATGAAATGGATGAATGGATTGAATAGAGCTCAAAGTTTTAAAGTAATTTTATCAAGAAATAGTGGATATCTTTACGTAAAGCTTCTCATTGTAAGAATAAAAGCTATCGCTAACCATGTAGCTTTTACTTGAACTTTTTGGTTTATTTTGAATATAATTTCAATTTTAAAGTATAGCCTTAAAGTATGAGGCTTTAAATTTTTTCCTATAGCCCGATCATCTTCTCATTGTAAGGACAAAGAGCTAAAGCTGACCATAGCTCAATCATATTTTAACGATGACTCCATTAACTCTATCAGCTCTATCTTATAGTTATAAACTTAGCTACTAAATATTTAAGTCAAATTCGGATTAAACAAATGAATTCATCTATTCTTCTTCTATCTATTCTATCTATAGTTATCTTCTAGTGTACTAATCGTTTAAATCAATAAACCTACCGTAAATACTGTAATGGTACCCCACCCCCCTCGTACAGTCGCGTAGTCGCAAAACTTTTTTAGTATTTCATTTTTTCAAAGCGCCCGTACTTTCAAAAAATGCATCTTTGGTATCAAAAAATAGCTGAAATTCAGGGCTATTTTTTGCTCCTTAAGCGCGCATTGTAGCATAAACCAGTGTCGAGAAAAACTCGTTCAAAGCTAGACTACGCAACACTCCGCACCGTCATTATGGGGGTGGGGTACTATTACAGTATTTACGGTAATTTCATTGCTTTAAAATCAAACATCAAACAAATTGCGATCTTTACTTGCTTAAATTACCAGAAAATGTAATAAGAATTTAAAATCATTACAATCAAATCAAAAGACTTTCTTCCCCAAAAACAAAACAAATCATGGAAAAAACTCAATGAGTGAAAAGGCTATTGTAAAGAGCACCAAAATCCTTGTATAGACTGTGATCACTTACTCATTTCACTCATTGAGAGATTTCCGGTGAAATTCGGGGGATTTTTAGAGGCAGAAGTGGGTCTCCCATTCCCTTTTTTGCTCTCTCTTATCGAGCCGCCTCTCGGGCGCCGTCCACCAACAACGCCCCCACACAGACACATTCGACACTTTGACACCAAGAAATGACATAATGTATTTAGAGGAGTTGGTTTAGAAATGAAGATATTAGGTAAATAGGTAGATCTTACTGCCAATAAGACAACTACTTTCCCTTGGAAAGCCTCTTAGAAAATGAAAATGAACTCTGAAGAACTTTGGGTAACAGTTTTTTTATAACTGGAAGCTTTGAAAATTGCTGCTTAACTCGAATCTACAAAATCTACGAACAATTCTAAAGATTTATTAGACAATCAAAAGATCGGAGTGAAAGTTGAACAACATTATTAAGCTGAGCAAATTTACAAGCCTAAAGCTTTACTATGTAGTCAAGCTTTTAGATTTAGAACAATCATATACTACTCTCGGTGCATAGGACTTGTTATTTTTCAATGCCTAGTTATGAATGGTCCACATTGTTAATCAAGTGCCCCTAGTAGTCAGTGAAGAGATCTGCTGAAGTGACATTGGTTGACAGGGTAAAAAGAGGAGAGAAAGATATGAAAAGTCTTAGGGTCACTTGGGGACATTGATGTGAGAAAAGAAAGAAGACCTTCAATATAAGAGAAAATGAGGCTTGACACACACCATTGCGCAACCTGGCCCCGAGAGAGATAATGGGGCGAATCTGTGGAATGAGAGGAAGAGGAGGATTCAAGAATGGAACCAACGGGTAAACGGGAAGGGAAACAGATGGGGTGAAAAGAGATTGGAAAAGGAAGGGAGAAGGAAGAGAGAAGGAAGGGAGAAAGGGGAGGAAGGGGAAGGAGAAGGAAGGAGAAGGAAGGGAGAAGGAAGGGAGAAAGAAAGGGATTGAATTTCTCAGATCGGTGATGGATACCTGAACCGGAAGGGAGATTGTGATGCAACATATGTGTGATTGAGAGGTTTAAGGGAAATGACTGCGAGCCATTTGAGCAGCCAACTTTTTCTTAGTTCAACTCCTAGCAAAAGATTCCAGGTCAAAATGGCTTTTAAAGGTAGTAAAGCTAGTCTACTGGCTGACTAAACTGACTAAACCTGGTCTTGGCTTGCTTGAGGTTGACTTACAGAATATCCCTAAATTGAACTA